ATAGTAGCCTATATTATGGGTATCTATCTTTATTGAAGAATCAATCAACGTATGCTCTTCTTTTAACTCAATTATGTACTACGCAAACCGCAAAATTCCATTATTTTCTCATTGATTAAATGATGGAAAATACAATAATAATAATGGGCATGAGAAAGAAATAATATTTCAGATTAACGAGACAGTCGATGGTAGGAAAAAGATGGAATGCCATGAATTCATTTTTTACACCAACCCATTCTATTCCTTTTCTGTTTTTCTTAGCAAGATCAATAGATACGTATCAAGAAAAGAAATCAAGACAATCATGACGTGACTAAAATAATATTAAGCTATTTTTCTCGTTCACCCTCGTGGTGTATTCTCGACATTGCTCCTTTTTCCATATCTAGTCTAAATGAAATAAAAATGTATCGATCAGCTTAATTAAACGTCTGATTTTTAGCATCCTCAGCCTACTACTAAAGATACTTCCGATCCATGCAATTACAGTAATCATTTCTTCTTCGTTGTCTATACAACGACCAGAACTCTTTGAATGTTGATACTGTTAGTCATAATTTGAAGACATTGACTTAACAATAACAATTTGGTAATTTGCTGTCGCGTTGAGAACTTCTATTTATGCATTATAGCATCCTAATTATCCTATCTCATCACCTATTGAGAGGGAAACAAATTACCCATTCTGAGAATTTTTTAAGCTTAGTTGAAGAAAATAGTGACCAAAATAGATCAGTCTATATTTATTTGAATACTGTCTCAAATATATAATGTTGATGTCGAGATTGAAAATCATCAGAGATATCCGAAGATTTATCGAAATTATAGGCAAACAATAACGCTACCGTAGTTGGCGATCAATTAATATTGACCGACAAATGCAAACTATTCAAGGAATAAATCATCTGTCGTCTAGCTTGTGTTTGTTGATCATGCAATAAAATCATTGAATCATTAAGGTAAAGATTTTTAGTATCTTGACTATTGTCAGCATGATCGAAGTCAATGAAGATGCAAAAGTGATGATAACTGTTGCATATCCTTCTATGCATTTCTATCCATTGGTACAAGATCATTTTCATAAAAGGTACTTGTGCATGAACCGATATTATCATCGAAATGAGAATTGAACGAGAATAGTACAGCTTTGATCGATGCTATTGGAATCAAGCTATCATCATCCATCATGATTGATTGATATATTGATGTTACCTCGCTTAATTCATACTGTAGGTATATCAAGGCTATGATATTAAATCAACAAATGATTAATCATTCAGATAAATTGAAATCAACATGGAAAAGTCTCTACTACGTCTGTACGTTGAATGGGAAAATATCGCGACCACCAAGGGTTCTTTTTGCACCCGATTTAAATATCAACGCTTAAATGTTTTCTTTCTCCCCATTGTGTCTGTAGTCTTTTTTTATTTTTGTCCATTTACTATAATTAGCATTCAAAAGTTAAAAAAGCACGATTGTATTGACTGTCAGTACAAGTTGAAAATATTCCCTTACTCAATGGCAGTATCCCGCTATCGACGGTATTTTCCTATGAAAATTATCCAATTCATTTTTGAATCATCGGAAATGAAGAAAAGAATTTATTTACTTTTACACTTGCACACCTTACTTTCTCTCGTCTACCGTGACCCTAATACGGAAACGATTACTATTAACTTAGTTGGAAATTCTACTGGTCAATTTCGATTATTTTTAGTTATCACCGTTCTTCCTTTTCTATATCCTAAAGTAGACAGGATATATGCAGAGAGAGAGACGACTAGATATCGATATCCCTCTTTCTCTTTATGTACTACTTTTAGAAAAAACAATTCTACTCTCTATCAGAAGTGTTCTGTTCCGTGCTATTCTTCTGTCTATCAACGTGAACAATTCTCACCGATATGGAAGATGAAATCATTGATGCATGTCTCATGTAATCTTCCCTATTCTCCAACTCGTTAAGATAGTATTGAATTGATTGTGAAAGCGTGAACAATAAGGTGGAAGGAAGAAAGAGAGGAAAAATACTTCCAATAATGAATAGTCCAATTCCAGTTGGAGTGGAAAATGCATGTTTTTCCAATCACCTTGCATAAGCTAAGCAAATTGTTTAGCTGAAGAATGAAAAAAAAGCGATAGAAAATATTGATCAGACAGTGGCTGACGATCAAAGTAGAAATAAAAGTAATAGAAAGTAGAATAGAAATCAATGATAGGATAGACAATCAGTAAAACAAGATGGTGGAAGTGATAATAGAGGATCAAGGATACTTCGCCTCTGTTTTCAATTATACGGGATATAAGGAATAGTTGTTTTCTCGATAAGGATAGGAGAAAGGCAGGCAAGGATCAAAATTATTCTTTATGTGAATCATTCAGTGAATACTGGATTTTAAACTACTTTTAAATGATTATTGTTATGGAATTTAAAAAATAAAATGGACTATTGCTGTTCCACGCTGCATAGTAGGGAAGTTTCAGTTACTGGATTTTGCACTCAATAAATTCACTTCATTCTATTTCCTACATAAATGTCATCATAATCAAGTTATTATATCACTTGATGCGGATAAATATAAATATGGAAGTGGAATTGAGTCATTATTGGAGTTATTTTAATGAACTGGTGTGTACTCTTGATAATATTGAATGATTATACCACGCATAAGGAATGGAATGAAAAGAATAATTAGCCCTTTAATCTAGTCAATACATGATGTTTTAACATGACGATAGAGTATTCAAATCAAGTTGAAAGCATAAAACGTTAGCGCTTGTTGCGTAGACCAGTGATCTATTTTGCCTTGTATTCCAATCATTAGGGTGGAGAACTAATTAGTCGGTTCAAAAATAGAACTCGTCGCTATCATCCAATAGGTGTAATTAATCCTGTGAAAAGAGACGATAACCCCCCACTGCTAGAATTGAAGATGATATCGCTTATTTGGTCGATTGATCGAATTAAAAGGAGTTCCAATAAGATTTTTCCCCCTTACCCCCCCCCCCTCTCTTGATGATTGATGACTAATGATTGAATAAAAATGAATATTTTTATTTTGATATTCTTTCTGCTTTATTTTATCATCAACACTTTCCATACCGATCGTCGGTAGCTAATGATAATAATTTATTTCCTCGACTTTAATGCATTGATAGCAAGAGAGAGAGAAAAAAAACTCTTTCTCTATGTCACGCACTCACGCACATCGAGATAGGACACAAACTCTCTTTCCTCCATCAACAGTGTCGGTGGATCCTTGTTTCCTACTTTGCATTAACTCCCACTCTCTCTCTCTCCTTCATTCTTTTTTTTTTTCTCCGTCATAACCCACTCAATGTGGATTTCAATAGTAATCCATTTCCAAGCACCATAGGAACTGTTTTAACGACTAACTTGTATTACCCACTGTTCAATGTGTTACAAAGTATTTGCTGTTAATGGATGACAGATTTGTAATATTACTGTTGTTAGAATGTGAAGTCATGCTTGAATTTTTCCAGCCCCTCCATTGAATTACTAATAGAAATGAATGCCAACTATGAGTCAAATTGGTAATTACTCTAATGATTACATAAATAATTAGATAGCCCGCCAAACATACCGCTGAAGATCAGAGGGAAATTAACTCATGTAAACAATCAATCAATATTGTTCATCAATATTAGGTCATACAATGTATTGTGGAAGGCCACACTATATAAAGAAGCGAGCTGGCCTTTCACGAATCATAAATCAACTCGTCGTTGGCAAAGAGCTAAGAACTCGTAGAATTCAAACTTGACTCGTCTCATTAGTTACCTTTAGTCGAAAGAGCAAAGGAATTGATCTCCATTTTGCTTGTGATTCTCCTCAACCCCACCTGCTGTGTTGAAATTGTCATTTGGATCGTTCAAAATTCGATTCCTCCTACCTCATCTTGTCAAGTACCTATTGCAAGTCATTACTACTCCTGCCATTATCCTCCATTGCATTTTGGACCATTAACAAGAGGGGAAAAAAAAAAATTTTTTTTCTTGTTTTTTGACGGACTCATTGAGACAAGCCTTCTGTATCTCTCCACTGCATTATCATTGCAATTCTTCCTTTCTTCTTCTGGTAAGTTAAGTAGTAATCTCACGTTCATCAATAAGGTGAATAATTTGGAGGAAAATTGTATACAATCAATAGTCATCAGTTCAAGTTGGTCATCAATTTATTGTCTACTCGCCATTGACCGATACAATATAGTCAATAAAAATGATCGATCAACAGTTTCCCATACTTTCTCAATCTATTGTGTTTTTCTTCTCCCTTCTTCTGTCGTTCATTGCAGTAAAGCTCCGTAGGCGCAGCGAGTTGTGCCTTACTATCATCATTTATTGGATAGGGCATGGCCAATTGGCCATGCTGGTTTTATTCATCAATTCAATCTTGATTAGACTCCTCCCATGTCTAAAATCAGATTCTTTTTACGCTATCTTAGTCATTTTTTTTGTATTGATTCAAGATGCCAGCCTACTTGATTCGATGTTTTCTTATTATGATAATGATCAAATCTTGTAATATACAACATGATAAACTTGTTTTATCTTGACTTATTATTAATGTCAATAAGTCGATTTGATCATCATCGTTCCGTTTCTTTCTGACTCATTCATCTTTTCTTTTTCAAATTTACAATGAATGGGATACATCTATACCAACCTATATGTCTCTTTAACTTTTATAGTCAATAGATTACTCCATCTATTCGTCTGCTTTCTAATAATGACATGTTTAAATAATAGACAAAATGATTTGAATTCTTGGAATAGAATACGCGTATTTTTAGACTACTGCTTCAAAAGTGCACAGGATATATGTATATATATACCCCATGCATAGTTGTTCTTTTCCTAGTCTACGTTTCCACGCCATTGCTATCCATTAGTCATTCATTGAACATTTTTAATGCTTGATTTTACAATCTAGATTTATAACTGATTGAATTATTAACAAGATACCAAGCAACATGACGACCCAATTGAATTTATTCTTCGCAATGGTCATCATCTCCACCATCATGACTTCAATCCAAGGTAAGGACCCTTTTCAAAAGGGATATTTATCGACATGATGACTTGTTCAAAATACAGCGTACTGTCCAACTTGATCGATTCTCAGTAGTCAAAGAGAAACGTATAGATTAATCGATTAAACTTGTTCCCCTTATTATTGCTATCATCATCTTTGGCGATCATCACCACAATGCCATGATGAAATTAAAATGATATTTGCTAGAAATAGATGTCTACCTTCATTTCATGTAGTGCCAGCTAGATTAATTTACCGGATGATGTTACGCATTAATTATGCTTACATTCATCTCCAGTAATATTCTATCATCTTTGACCATCACAACAAGCCATTTAAAGAGTATATATCATACTACAAATTATCATATAGCACACTAGCAGTTGTGATGTTACAGTTATTAAATTACTAAAATGAATAATTGAATCAATGGTAGCGAAGGTGGGTGTGACAAGAAAAACGTGAAAGTATTCATAACTCTCCATTTGAACAAATAAAACGCATTGATAATGTACTACTTTGCCCATCGTACTTGTTTAAGATAGAATATATAATTCCTTAGCACTAATTATCCACATCTAGTTGTACTATACATAATTGATGATGATGATGTTTAAAAGAAAAAAAATTTACATCACAAGTTCATGGTGTCAGCTAGCTTGTCTTAATCTAGTACATTATTTATAATATTTATAGGCTACAATATTTTATCGATAGCTAATTTATAATTATTATTAATAGCTAAAGAATTTTATTTTCTACTCTTCAATAGCTTGAAGTAATTCATTTTTTTCATCCATAGCTAATTTGCAATTATTATTCATAGCTAGAGAATTTATTTTCTACTTATTTAATACCGCGACTTGAAGTAACGTAGTTTATAATTCTTGCTGTAAATGACCTACATCACATTATTTCTAAACACTCGATAGTTGAATAACGATAATAATCATACTATCGGCTAAAACTATCGCTGTACTACATTAATAAGATAATTTAAAATAGGCAATATATTGTATTAACCAAATTGATCATCTTCTACAATAATAGCTGGATCATGTTGGGTGCAAGATGATAATGGGCTATGCCGACAATTAATCACCAGTGGTAAAGCTGTCACACGTCAATCCTGTTGTAATGATGGCCGCCCAAATACTGGCTATAGAGAAGGAGACTTAGCATCGGAACAAAAGTGGGAAATATCGATTGGAATGCCACTCTCTGTCATATGTTCACCATGTTACCGTAAGTCCACATTCTCTATTGTACTTAATTAGGTCAAAATAGTGCATTCATAAATTAATTGCCTTACCTCATGATGGAAGTCATGGTGCACTTTAGTACTAGGTGATGATGACCGTAGAATAGGATAATTATTATTATGCTTATTCCAATAGATGCAATAGCCTCTAGTGCATGCTTCTTCATTAGCTTTAAAGTAACGAGTTCATCCTATTCCAGTAATTGCAAAGAAACTTCTCTTAACACGTGCATGACAATAATGACTCATCGACAAGTTCAGACAAGGACAATGAATTCAATAATTATTAGCAGAATTTTATTCAATGATGCAGTCAATTAGTTTTATTATTTTCTTAAATTACTCCGATTAAACAAGTATATCTAGTTGTAGTACATATATATGCAATACATTTAAAATACGATCGATCAGGCTTCAATATATCGTCTATTTGAATTCAAGAAGGAATATGATAAAACTCTCCTACATCTTTTTAATATCTCTATATCATGATTCGATGCATTAAAATGAATTTCTTTATTAATAGAAAATTGCTCCAAAGTCACATGCGAGACTGGACAACAATGTCAAATGATCAATGGAGCACCCAAATGTGTTTGTAAACCTGATTGCTCAGATATTAAATATCATGGACCTGTTTGTGCACATCATGAGCAAAAAGGGTTTGTAACTTATCCCAATATATGTGCTATGAGAAGAGATTCTTGCACCAATCGCCATGAAATAACAATTTTGTATCATGGAATTTGTTTAGGTAAGCTACAATCGTATTGAATTTTTCAACCTATTCATTGAATTGTTCTATGTAGGGAGAAATGACACGAATTCATTTTGATCAATGTTTCATTCAGCTCTTATAAATTATTACTCATTATTTTTTGAATCGATTTTTTTCTCATAGATTCTTGCGAATTTATCCGTTGCTCTCCCAATGAAATGTGTTATCCTAAGACAAGCTTTACGCCTAAAGCAATGTGTGTCTCCTGTAAAATCAATCCCAGATGTCCAAAAGATCACTCTGCTAATGAGCATGTTTGTGGCACTGATGGTCGCACTTATGTTAACGAATGTGCATTGAGGAAAGTCATTTGCAGAAGAGGTGTAGAAGTTCAAGTTGCTTACAAAGGAAAATGCCACAGTAAGTATTTTATCCTAATAATATCATATGGCCAAATATTTACTTAACTACTTGTACAAAGGGGAAATTTTACCCTTCTACTAGTACTGGTACTGATAAATGAGTGGATATTAAAACTAATAATTTGTTTATGGACTATTATTATCTCTACGTCAAGCATCTAAGTTATAGTTTCATCAAATTTGTTCACACAAAGTCTTATATGATGAATTTGTATCTTGATAGGATCGAATACATGCCAAAATATACAATGTAGTGATGGCAAAGTTTGTTTAACCGATCCAAAGACCAATAGCCCCCGCTGCAGTACTTGTTCAAATCTTCCATGCAATGTCTCTCTCAATCATCCAATTTGTGGCAACAATGGTAAAACTTATAAAAACTGGTGTATTATGCATCAGCATTCCTGCCAAACTAAAACATTCATTAAATCACAATATAACGGCTCTTGTAAAGGTAAATACCAATAGCTGAATCAATTACTTGTCATCAATCAGTCAACATCTATTTTCTAACAGATTATTTTTCAATGATAGAAAATGATGCCCACTATCGATCATTGAAAGATTCATTAGTCAGCCAAGATGAAAACTCCCCAGATAATTCCAAAATAGGAGGTGATATTGGTGTCAGCGATACTACTCCATTACCTGCTCCAATCACCGCTAGCGCTGATGGCGAAGAATAAAAAAGAATAGACCGTAATAGCTGCACACTAAGCTGACGTAAAATTACTATTTCATTTCCCCTCCCGATAATATGATTATTCTTAAGAAGAATTTATCAAAAGTAATATAAAATAATTTCAATTTAGAGTCTATGGGTAGCTGTTTATTATATTGTATCTGTAATTATAATGCAAATAATTAGAAATACTCATAATTAACACTAAATTTGTGAACATGATCATTCCACTTCATATTTCATCAAATGTTGTTGTGGATGATTGAAAGTGTAGCAGTTGCAAGAGACTTTCACTTGCCTTATTTATTTTAATTAGAATGGAAAATGTAGCACTTCTATTAATCATTCGTAGGCTAAAATATTTATCTATCTACTAGTAAATTGACTATGCCTACGTAAAAGTAGACCAATATTAACTAGGGCCAATAGTAGATCAATTATTCAATTGTAATAATCAGATATTAGCGGTATAGCTTGGATAGCTATACAAAAGAGTATGATATACTCGACTAGAATTTACATTTTCATGGCATTATCCAATGTAAACGACAAATATCGGTCGCTAAATTTCAATTTTAGAATGCTATCTAAAATTAAAACAAATTATCATTGTCACAATCATTTCAATATCACCTAGGACCACCTTGCATTTGTTCATGCAAGTTATCCAATGATTAATTATTTCCTTACTATTGTCATTATAAAAATTATACTGTATGAAGATATGGTATTATAGCCATGACTAGCTTACGCCCTATCATTACGTTTATAAGAGAATCTGTGCGCTGAGTCATTGTTATTCTAATTCCTATTTTAATAACATTCTGATGATATGAAAAACTGAAAGTTGTTAAATTAATGTATACTACATACTATCCAATATAATTAATTACTCCGTATTTGTGCTAGCTTCTTTCGTCGAAAGATGTACTTAGATGCCGTTACTTGTTCATTTAATAATAATATATGTTAGCATCGTCTCTAATGTCTGCAGTAATATCTCCAATGTTATCGTATTCCTCCAAGACGATGAAATTAGTCAATAAATCAGCGCGTCTATTATTAACTCATAATTTGGTCTTATGTTCGCTTTTACTGTGCATACAACCTTCAATCAATGCTGATGATGATCAATAGCATGACCATAACAATTATTACTTTTCCTAAAAGATGATATCATTTAATAGTTGATCAAATCATCGATCATAATATACTGCTAGTATATCATCAGCATGGTGATTGTTGTGACGATTGATAGCTTTTAGAAAACATTGCATTAGTAAGATTGATCAAAGCATCGATCATGATCCTAATATAGTAGTGGTATATCATTAATATCACTAGCTTTAGCATATTAAATATTACTTTTCAGAATATTTCTTCAGTAAGGTTGATTAAATCATCGAGCATGATCCTAATATAGTGGTAGCATATCATTAATATGATGATCGCTGTGATGATTAATAGCTTTACTATAGATATCAAATATCACTTTTCCTAAAGAATATTTCATTAGTAATACTTTTCCTCGATAACATTAGTAATGTTAATCAAATCATCTTTTGCGACCCTGATTCTAATATCGTAGTAGTATACCATAAATCAATTCATCTAGCCTGAAACACGGTAATGCTATTACTTTATCAAGGAATCGCTATCGTGACTAAAGCTGAAGTGAACCCTCACTAATAGTATCACTCGAATAGTAGCTAAAATATTTATCTACGTTATCCGTAAAGCGCAATCTGATATTGTATGATATTCGAATAAAACTTCATCAATTTATGTTCTAGACTTTGTACTTTGTTAACTACAATGCTATACGATTTTATTTTCTAAATTGTGATTGACTTATTTTATGTTGATTGTATCTATTAATATGCAGAATATCAGTATTACTTTGTGATTACAACTATAATTTAACCGACATAAATTTGAATTGGATAGCACCCTATCATGGTAGAAATAAATTATTCTTACTTTAGCTCAAATATGTATCGGGAATTTTAAAACATGTTTTAATCAGTATCATTATCTTAAACATACGGAAGTCAACCAATAGTAGTCATATACAACAGTAATGCTTCATTTTATCGTCGATTACTGCCAATTGAGAGAATGAAATAACATAAATAATTTTTGTTTGTTACGGTTGATAAAGATTTCTAGAATTCGTTAATTAAGATGACATTTAAGGAGTTTTATATTCGAAATATGGGAATGATGAGATCGATTTTGAAATTTTTATAACCTTGCTACTGCCAGTAAGTATCATAGACAAAATTGTTTCCTATGTTAACCCGGAATTGCAAGAATTTATTCAAGATTTGGATGTACAATGATTTGTACATTTCATTCAAAATGTAGATGTTTAAGAGCAGAAATTAGCATTTGATGCTAAACCGGCCTTTACAAGAGATTCTAAGTATGCTATTTTTGCTAGCCTACAAATGGAACAAAATGGTGCAATATTCTTTTAGCTGAAAATTTTTAACTAATATTCATTTCTATATGTTAGTGCTGTAGGATTGATCAATTTTGTTTTATAATAAAGATATCTGAACAAAGTTAATATCGCTGATATTAACTCATTACAATCAACAGAAACAACATTAACTTAATTGTTTAACTAATATCGAAAATAAATACTATGCAATCGATTCCAGTTAAAATTGGAAGCAAATGACAATCACTTCATAACTTATTCAATTATAGTAATCAGTATTTTTACTTAAAAAGAATTAAGGTAACCTCGATTTAAATCTCTTCATGCATGGGTGCTATTATAACGATTGTCGAATATCGTCACAATAAATAAAAATAACAAAACGATACTTTCATTTTATTGTGCTATTTTTTCGCATGAATGAGCTTGTATATGATGTATAAAAATAACTGTAGCTTAACATTTAGAATAAATATACAAAGCTAATTGAATGGATTGACGGTACATAGTAGTAATAATGCAACAATAATATCGGAGGATGGACTATTCTTTAAAAATTGATTGTAAAAAACTATAAGTAGAAGTAAGAATACCGGCATATCTACTTCTAGTTATGCGCATCAAATTAGGGCTTAAAATTTCTTTGTTAAAAGATTGGAGGCGGAAGGGAAACAAGTTGAAAGGTAAAGATATTAATAGGAAATCATGTCTAGCAAAAGAATGTATTGATAATCTGTCATCTTCTCTGTACAGTAAGTAGTATTATATGAACTAGCCCTATTTACCGGATAATCTTGCCCACCTTATTTTTACTTCATGAAATTAAGTGAATCTGAAGAAAATCCCCCTCCTGCCTTGAAAGATGTACGAAGTACTTTTGACATAGAAGAGTGCATGCATTTTGATAGTATCGATCATAATTATTTTTATATCAATCAGCGGTATGAAATAAACCATAAAGTATGCGGTATTTAGTCCCGATATAAATGCATTACGGTATACGTACATTGAATTTATGTTGTTATGTTCATGAATGCTAAACAAGAGCTATATCATGAAAATCAGTGCTAGTAATTTCTGGTTTCAATTCCGGCACCAGAATTACCGTAAAGTGTTACAAAGAGAACGGCGGTTGCTGGCAACTCTTAATCGGAAATTGTCACTAAAGTTTATCCAACATACTTGCATATTGTCAGTTATCTCTAGAGCTTATAATATTATTGCATAATACATACAGAAAGGTTAAAAAGAAGATATATCCGTCGGTATCGCATTAAGGTAAAGCGACTATAAAAGGTAATCAAAATTGCTACACTCAATGCCATTATTCGGCAAAACTTGAATCATTGTTAAGCACCAATAAGAAATAAGTATCCGTCTATAATGTAATCTCAAAATTGTTCGTGTTTGTCGGTAAGTTTATGCGATTATGAATTGCATTAGGCGGAAGAACTGCGGTAATTTATATGGTAAATGGGCAAAGTAAACAAGAAGTCATAATTCTAGCCATTTTATAAATATTCCTTTTACACATCCAGCAACGAATATTTTATCTTGGCTTATTTAAATACCGACTCCAATTGCTTGCGTACATATCCTTTAATTTATTAATAGTAATCTATTAATATTTTTGTAAACTTTCTTATGGCGTCTTACTGTAAGATGGTTTAACAATTAGTGTATTGATAGTGAATTACTGTATACTACTTCTTACGATTAATTGCATCTTGTACTAATAGATGTGCAAGAGACTTTGATAAGTATTAATGTAATCTATATGTAAATGGAAATACATTGAACAAATTTTAAAGGTTGAATATACTTGAAAATATATGGTTCAACAGATATTATCTAGAGTAATTATTGGGGTGGAGCACTGTAATATTTAATTTTAGATAACTGTGTTATCGAAAAGATAAAACCACGCAAATCTTTTCGCTATAAATATCATCATAAAGTTTCGTTTTAGGATAGAATAATAGCAGCAAATGGGATTGAGCGCTTTAAAGTTTTAATTTTAGGTAGCCAAGCTATTGAAGGGACATTGATCACGCAAATTATTTTGCTATAAATATTATCATAAAGCTTTATTTTTAGCGTGCAATAATGTCCGTAATTACAAAAATAACCGAATTACTAGAAAAACTTTTGATTTTCAATTTATCTTACCAGTGATTAATCTAGTATGATTACGTAAAATAAAAAGAATAAAATATGTTAATCAAAGATTACAATAAAAGTACTATAATATTGACAAAACTTCTATAAATATAGATTAATAATAAACCAATAGAGATAATAATGGAATCATGAAATCAATTTCCTACATAATCCTCAATGGATGCGCTGATATAGTAAGTATTCAGATTATTTAGGATTTACTTTTATCAAATACAATCGAATATTCCTCCCTAACATTTAATATCAGAAATAAATTTCAATGGTACTATACTTATGGACTATAAAATCGTACAGTAGGATTGAATAGGTAACATGTATTTTAAAATTAATTTATAAAAAGTCTTTGTTCATCATTCTGACATTGTTATTATTTATTTACCAAATGAATATCAAAATGTGAGCGTAAAATTATTGCAATCAATCATTTACATTTCTTATAAATTAATCTTGGTACGGAAACTATTTTAAAACTATATTTAGTTAAATAAATATAACGACGCTATTAATAGTTTTGACGATACAGTACAAATGAAGTAATTCTTGAGAATCTAATTGTTGATGCTAACTGTGGTAATAAAAAAAGTATTTGGGATTTTATCTTTGACCAAATCTTTGAAATAAAGACTGTTTGCTTTAAATAAAGAGTTTTATTGCACAAGTTTTTATTTATAGCATTATACGAGTATTTACTCCAATATCAGAATATTATGAGAGAATGAGCGATAGACTAAAATGTAGGACTCATCTACTCTTGATTCTGTATATTTTTATTTCTTGTTGCCGCTATCGCTATTATGACAGTGATTAATTACGAAATGTGATCTTTTTGTGCAGCTAAAGAAAGATACTAAACTGCTTGTACCAGGTTATTCAATAATCCCCTGTTTATTCATTTACAAGAGCTTATTACGTGCGATCTTTTCTATATAAGGATGTTAATCTTGTATGTTTACTTTTAATAAATAAATCTGCGTATTAAGTGTTCTTACCAATTAAGTGTTTTTACCAATTAGCTTATTTATTTTACTGTATCATCAAAGTATTAGATCATTCTATGCTGTTTAAAACTATAAAAGATCATTATGTTATTGTATTGTTAATGTAAACGCGAATAATCATTTATTTCATTTTTTTGCGTGTCAATTTGGGCACTTTTTCTTGTTTTTACGCATGTTTCTTTTGGATAAAAGGGTAAGCGTGTTGATTTAATGCAGAATTTAAAGCTTGATCTCATAATAACGGTTAAGATCAATCGATTGATTAGTCAATCAATCAATCAAGCTACTTGACATTTGTTTATATTAGAGTACAGTGCATCGTTAATTGTAAAGATGCGGTAAGTTTGTGATCTCTGTAACATATTCCTAATTCTCTAGGTTTGTTTAAATTACACATCAATTAATTCAATCAAAATACTGTAACAACATTGATCCCCTTCATCATTTCTGCATTAATTGATGCGGTAATATATTGCGATATATTTATTTTTCACATCGTAATCGTCGAATTTTATAGAGTATCTTTAATAGTCAGTAGTGCTCTCTTTAATCTTACCTGCATATTGATTGAATAAGATAAACTGCACGATTAGTCATCAAATAAAGCTTGTAAATAATTTAAAACCTTCTATTCTCTGTCAGGAAGTGAGACTCATGTTTAAAATAAAAATTGTAGCATGACATTATTAATATTAAGAAATAATCGTGTCAATCCCAAACTTTTTAAAGTCTTTTGCTTACCAGAAGAGCTATCTAAGAATATAAACAGTAAATAAAGCGTTGACTATAATATTCCAAAAGAGCAGAAGTGATCAGTGGTTTAGGCATTCGACTTGTTAGTGCAATAATGACATATAAATATTATTTATTAAGACTGTGAGTCTTTCTAGTAAGAGTTACGACATCCTATCACCAGCGATTTAATGATAAAGGGAAATTCTAACCTTCTCCAATATCAAGATATTAATAAGATATATTAATACTATATCTTGGTGAGTGATTCTTGACGTTAGCCAGTTGTTCCTACACGCGATATAGTGAAATGAATTTCACATGCTGCATGCAGCATGAATACATCAAAGTATTCAGTAATAGTGTGTTTCAAATATTTCCAAAGAAAGTTGGAATTGTAGGATACGTTAAGAACATTGATTTAGTCATGATGATGATTTGTACTATAAATGTGTAGGCAAATTCATGTAAACCTGCTGGAAATTATATTGATTTCGAGTGTCAAGATAAATAGTAAAGTTAAAGTCGGGAAAAAGCTACTATAATTATAGGAAAATGTTGATTTCTATCCAGTACATGATATGATATTTAACCGTAGCTGATGCTACGGCTTCGTATAATATACATTTGATAGCAATAAAAAATATAAGAATTGCTAAGCGATGGCTATGAGCCAAAATAATCAATCTAATCGCTAATTAGTTGCAGCAATAAATAAGAATATACATGTAAATAAGCACTAGAAATAAATTCTATGTACTAGTAAATCTGATTACAAAATATCAACTTAACATCAAAGGCTTTACAACTCGAGGATTCCTTTATTCCAACTCGATATATTCACTTTAACTTTATTATTGGATAGAAAAGTATTCTAGTAAAGTAGCAGCTAACATGATTATATTATTTATTTAGAGCTGTTATTACTTACCGCATTGCAGCACTTATTTATGTTAATATGATGCACTTATGATAGCACTTATGATAGCATTATCCTTCTTTCGAGTGCGTAATCAATGCCATAATGAATAGGAAAAATAAAAGTTGCTCTATGTTGGTCAAAATATATCAGCAATTATACAGCCTACGGAGTACTTCGAGAAAATAAGCTGCTCATCAGCTATCTTGGCTAGAATAGTGTCGAATAACTGTCCATTTTCGTCCACCATATCGATAAATTGTACGCTACATTTATAGTGAATGCTACCTCATTTTACTAGACTAAGAATGTAGATCTTTCAAGAATACTTATAGCATATTCTTCATAACTGTATCGCCATTTATGTCAGAATTTAGAATGGATAGCGATGAGCAATAATGCAAGAGAAAGGAAATATTCAAGTCAAAATATGGCGCATCTACTTTGATATCGCTACTGTAGACAGGGTAGTATCTAATTTTGAAGAAGAAAGATAGTATTCTGTATTAAAATAATAGCTTCTACGGTTAGCACTCCGAGTCATATCACCAAACTGGCTGAATGGACCATCGTATAGTGTAAAGTATCAATTGAAGCAGAAAATGGCGATCTTATTCCTTTCTACTTTACATTATACATTAAAAATGGCTTTAACTTGTACTCTTCAAATCATTATCCTCTGTTGCATCGAATGATAGAAGAAATAAATGTCTGCATTAAGATATTACTGGTCATTGAAGTAAAATTGAGCGTTCTAAACTGTCCAAGGCTTCAAATAATCTTCCGAGCGTTCTCCGCATACTGTAACCAGTACTGGACACCATTACCTACCTAGCACACCATACGTAACCATATATTGTAATCCATACGATATATTTTCGGTCTAACCTATATAATAGCCCTTGCAGCCTAGTTTTCCCTAGAAGAAGAAATGGAGCTGGCAGCTGCCGAGGCCTACCACTTGCTGTACTTTGCTTTCTGAGCTGTAAACCTATATGGAAGAACAGGTATGACTGCGTAGTAGTATAAATCTGTTATTTATAATTTTACTAGCTCGCAATATTGTAGTACTGTGCTTAGCTACTTGCTTTATTCGTTTGTTGATGATCGATGGCAGAAATACTCGTATACTCGATTGCTCATTCTTCAATATTAGCTCATAGTCATTTCTCTTTTATATGCTGCAGTATACATAAAAATAATGTTCATCAACTGTAGCTAGAGTCCTCTTTCTTGCTGTTTAAGTAAACGTTATATTCCTGGCATGTTACAAGTAAAAAATAGCAGCAAACTGAGTTAACTTGCTGATATTATGGTGCTATCGGTTAACTTCCAAATTACTCGTATTACAGCTAGTCCAAATTCTGCATTACATTATTTCCATAAACTTTTTACCAATCTACTTTTATTGCTGCAGGCAAATGTGCCCATCACTGTCAATATCCTAACATGAAATTACTGTACAAGTGTTCGGCTAATAAGTAATAGAGAATGATAAATGAACAAATAGTGCTCGAGTAAGCCTATTACTGTATTTTATGACATGAATTCAATCGTTGCTACTGGACTTATTCAGCTCTTAATGTTCATCCAACAGGCTAATGTGCCCATCGTTATCAATATCCTAACACCAAATTACTGTACAAGTCTTCGGCTAATAAGTCATAGAGAATAATAAATGGACAAATGATACTCGAGTAAGCCTATTACTGTATTTTATGGCATGGATTCAATCGCTACTACTGGACGTATTCAGCTCATAATGTTCACCGGGGTTGCACATCTAGATTTTGAACGATAGTTGACAATCCGTTACTGGTATACGCGTAGAGGATGATGTAGATCAGTTTCTTATGCAGGTATCGATATCATACCAATGTAGTATAATTGAGACTGTATTTGTTGAGAATTATTTGCTGTTAGTGATGTTAATAGAAGATCTAATATTATTTTATTACACTGGCTTAATTCTACAGCTTGTAGTTGTATTTTTATTCATCTGGGATAGTTCGCGCGTTTGAGTTTGATTGAAAATCGATTGCTGGCACTAGCATTGCGATAATTGCTACATTCCTTAACATAGTGTATTAATATTTACTAGAACATTATTCTAATACTATTGGATGTCATCACCATAGTCAGTTGCATGAAGACCCCTTACCATGACAAAGTCACTAATTACAGTAGTAGTGCATTTGGTATGCGATTTTGCAAGCAATGTTACTTTCCATTACAGAAATACAACGGTACTTAATAAACAATGATCTCGATATCTTATGTTAGAAAGTAGCGATAATAATTACCATAACTTAAAGGGCTGTATTAATACAAAACAAATTATAGATAGAGCTAATGTACGAACATATAGCTTATCGTTTAGTCCTAGACTACAGTAATGCATGATCTTACTGTCATAAACTGGATTATGTATGATGATGTTCGTCAGGTTAGCATATCGTCCTAATTAGAATGTCTCATAAACTTTCAATTATACAATTATCTAGATACTGTGGAAAGGAAGAGAAAAATAATGTCTAGCACTGTCAAGAAAAGAAAAATAGCTCCCATATCGTTTAGCGAAAAGGTGGCAAAGAAAGCCTCACTTGACAATGATGGCTGGAATAGAATTTTCCATAATCCAAAGCTACTACTAATTGCTTTGATTGCTTTCCGAGCAGTCAATGCATGCTGTATACAAACTTCTTATGTTCCTGATGAATACTGGCAGAGTTTAGAAGTTGCACACTATCATACGTTTGGATATCCAAGAAGTATTCCATCGTTGAATTAAAGCTTATAATGCTTATGTCTTCGCAGTAATATACATTTTTGCTAGAGACACAGTTACTCTCGAAAAAGTTATCCATTCAAGTAATAAGTACATTACTGGATAGGGTGCTTGGGTCCGGTGCCATAATTTAGTGAATAAATTTAAAATTGCACCATCCTTTGTAAGGGTTATAGTAAAGATAACGTAGTATTTAATGAGTTAAAATTTTTATTCCTTAACTTGTCTTACTTACGGTTATTTATCTTGGGAATGGACGGAGCGTATACGTGGATTTTCGTATCCGATGCTATTTTCCTTTTTATATGAATTATTAGCCTTTCTTAACATCGACCAAGGGTTCATTATGGTGAGTGTGATGTAGGTTTAGAAAATTTTTTGTGTATATTGTGATGTTGCATGTACCAATAACTACAATTTAAATTCGTTGAGACCATGTACTTTAGTTTATCGATTGGTTTTACATGTAATGTGTTATTAACTGTGAGTGCCATTAATAATATAATTTGACATTGCTTACCAACAGATATATTCACCACGCCTTTTACAATCAATATTCGCCGCTGTGGGTGACTTACACATTTACAAACTGGCGGAAATATTTTTTGATAATAGTGCAGCTCGATGGACTGTATCCTATAGAACTATTTCAAATTTAATATCATTCTAACTACATTAAACCAGTCACAACGGTAATTTCTTTTACTCATTTATGAATAGCTATGTTGCTCTTTAATATCCTGGTTTAACTTTTACTGTATCACGCGAACTCTAACCAATTCCTTGGAAACTATAATTACCATTATTGGGTTCTGTTATTGGCCATGGCCTTGGAAAAACGATAAAGAGTAATGATGATTTATTGCAGTTTAAAAACCAATATATTAATTATCTGTATAATGATTATAGGAGTCCTAGTTGTAAAATAGCTCTATCGTTCGCTGCCATTGCTTTCATCGTTAGGCCAACTTCAGCAATAATATGGTTGCCGTTGTGTATATGGCATATGATATGGCATGCTAAAAACATAAGTAAATTTTTAATTGTGGACGTTATACCCATTGCGTAAGTTTATCTATATTCTTTTATCCTACTTAATAATATTAGTTTCCTAAATTTTAACCACATGAAATGCATATACTCAAAATTATATTTGGAAAACGATTCTAGCTCGATCTTTCTCTGCTTGTCATTAATTATTGATTACATATTCTACAAGCAGGTTCGTGACATCATATGGTTAATTTTCGGAGATAACTAATCGTATTTTGTTTCCTCTAATAGCTGCTAATTGGCAGCATTGCGAATACTCCAATAAATTTATCATTTGTTTTTTGGCAGCTTGTGTTTGTTCAATACAACTTCTTGTATTACAACGTCTTTCAAAATATTGGGAAATTCTATGGCAGCAACCCCTGGCACTGGTAACAGTCATATTTCGCAGTGATTGTTAACATTGCTTTCTTATTGCATGTACTTTATGGTTCAAAGCATGTTGGCAAAACAAAATTACTTTATTCTTATATTTTAGGTATTTCAGCCAAGGCTTTTTTGTGGTTGCCGGAACGTTAACAATCCCTTTCATTGGCGGAGTTTTAAAATCTGACGTTCGTCAACGTTTTCTAATTTGGATTATATTGTGGGATATCCTCATACATAGGTATTCAAACTCATAACAACTTTAGGATTTCGAAAATCTTTAATTTATAATCTGTTCATCGTTGGTGTTTCTACTTAATTTCAAAAAATGTTCCGTTAATAGCTTGCGTTGAAAATAAACTCTTGTTTTGCAGTTGTCTCAGCCACAAAGAATTTCGATTTATTCTTTCAATTCTACCGTTTGTACTTTGTTTTTGTGGTAAGTTCCGAATCAATATAGTACTTACTGTGCATCAATTGCTTGATACCTCAATGAAAATCTGCATGCAAAGTAAAAAATTAAGCTATGCTTGATACAGTAGATTTACCACGGTACTGTACACTGATCTATTATATAATAATTATCATCTATAGGATCATATTTGAGCATTATGTGGAAAGTTAAAGACGCGACTGTAACACGCAATCGGCATTCATTTTGGTGGTTTTTTACATTCTTGTTAACAACAAACATCGCTGCAGCGGCATATACAAGTCGTATTCATCAAAAAGGCACAATAGATGCTATTCATCACATTCGAACCATAAGCGAGGTATTCCATGTACTTAGACTAAGCAAATAAATTGTATAATCTATATACTCTATAACTATATGTATTCATATTGAGGCTTACTATTTTAATATTTTGTAAATATGCAATAGAGACATAACACTGATAGATTTTCCGTAATGTTTTTAATGCCTTGCCACTCTACACCGTTCTATTGGTAAGTAAATGGCATGTCAATTATCAGGGACTAATTTAAAGACAGCGCAAAAATTAATTTTTAGCGACTTGGATGTATACGTCAGATTTTTAGTTATTAATAAGATGTTAACTGTTCTTAATAAAATAATCACTTTCATTCAGCTATATTCATAAAAAGATCGAGCTATCGTTCTTAACTTGTCTTCCAAGGTATAATTACAATTGTATTCTGGTTCTCGTTTTTTTTAATTTATAGTATTCTAGAGAAATCTGATTTAAATGTGCTATATTTAATATTAGTAATAGACCTGGATATATTGATGAGGCTGATCGCTTCTTTTTGGAACCTACATCTTGGCTTAATCGAAAGTTTAATAGCTCTGACACGAACAATGTAGTTCCTCCGAATTGCCTTGTATTTTTTGATAACTTAGTTACTGTAAGCTTGAAGATGTGTTATTTGAATTGTTATATAGCAATATGTACTTCAAACCTTGACATCCAATAAGCTAGTCGATTGAGAAATAACGAACAGTGACAGAAAATTCGAATTACTGATTTATTGCTATCTCTAATTCCAGGTCATACAAACATTTTTAGTGAAATATCATTATAAAAAGGTCTGTATTTTTGTTCTGCTTCAATGAAGTATGATGTTACTATCAATCTCTGATTTTCAAACTTCTTATACAGAACAAAAGTTTTTTCCACACCCATTTTCCTGAAGGAAGGGTAGGCTCAAACGTCATCATACATTGTTTAGAATGAAATTAAATATTTTCAGGCAGTTAGATTTATTTGTGCTTGTAAGGATCATCCCCTTGAACACCTTTAATTGTAGTTTCCTGATAATATGATATTTTTGAGTAATACAGCAGATACAGAGGCTGTAGATAGTTTTTAGGCTCTGCTAGACCTTTTCTTATCATAAATCTCCTATACTGTTATATACGAATGATGACATTAATTTCGTACTACATCGACTGATTTGCGTGAAATTTACGCATTCACAACGCAAATCAATCTAAGATTAATAATATTATATTATAACTATTGTATCGTTTAATAATCTATAATCATTTGAAACAGTTGTTTCAAAAAAATCTCTCAGCATTCTAACAATACAATGATTCTGTGAATAACTTCGCAAGCCTAGGTACAACGTTGGATGTCATGTTTGTCTTTTTTATGATTGCAAATATCATAATATTTAAACAAATCAATTGAGATTACAATCGCATTTTAATGATCATTGGATCTGAATAATGTGTATATAATTTGTTCTTCAGATTCGGTACTGAAACATTAAATTTCTTTATCCGTTTCTAAAATTGCTACTATAACCCGTAATAACATATACTGATGTATTATTGACAAAGATGAGATAATAAAACAAAAATGGATATTTTTCTAGAACAAAATTGGCTCCTGGCGAGCGATAGTTACATAGCTACATTGGCAATGCTACTGAATAGGAAGATTAGCTAGCGAATGCAGTATTGTTAAGAAGTAAATCGTTAAAAAATATTAATCGGTTTACCGCTACAGTTGATTTGATTAATATTAACTCAAAGAAATCATTAGGGTTACGCATATAAATTAGCTATCCTTGCATCAATTTTAGAAAATTTACGGATGAAATTTAAATTTCAGGATTGATTCATATCCATAAGATTTATGTACTGTATACGTCAATAAGGTTTGTTCAGCAAATCGATTCCATTCAAATCTCAAATTGGAGCTCATAAATTATCGCAGTATAACCGATCTTTTCTGCAATAGGAAACCTAACGGTGCAGATACGATTCTTCAGCGAATTGTTAAATTTTATACATTCTTCATGCAATCGGTAGATATACACGTAGAAGCATTTATCAGATACGATTGAAGTTGTTAGTAGACGTATCAGCACAATTGTCAAAGTTATTATGTCAGTTGATCAACTTTTACTCGCTTGTCTATCCTATTTCAATTCTTTACTTTACAGAAATACTAAAATTGATCTATTAACCCTTTTAATGTCATAAATTTTATAAATTAGTATGATTATGCCTTACTTTATTTTCACACTATCATCTGTTATAGCAGAAAGTGCAGTGCTACGATCATTTATCTTATCTTTCTACCTCTCTTAACGCAACATCTAGCTATTTCTTGTGATATTTCTACTAAGCAATCAGATTGTCGAAAAGATATAAAAATAAATTCGATATTAAAAGTAATCGTTATTTTAAGATATACGAAATCAACGATTTTTATTACTTAACTAGGTAGAATGATAGGAATTGTATATATTGTAGATGAGAAGACTAAATTTGCTATAAAGGCTAAGAAGTATGAGTATGATTACTTTAAAGGACATGACTATTGTCAAATTTACCTTAATACGGTACTGGCTGCCTACCGTACAACTAGATTGCAAAAGTCAGTTTTAAAAAAAATTTATCAGTGCAGTATACGGGATTATTTGCTCGTAAGGCCTCTGTCTAAGGCAATTAAGAAGCTTAACGAGAAAGAACTTTATTATGAGATGCCTGAGATAAAGTCTTAGTACAACAGGGGCACTTGGTAGAAGGATCGCTCCCTAGAAATTTGTTCTTTATGAAATATTATGTTAAATTCGATATATAAAGTACTCGACTGGTGCAATCGTTGATAATTAGTGTACGTGTGTGGCTTAAAATTGTTGATCAAATTATCTTTTTGCTAGAGATTTTTGACGCTCCTACCCTTGAGAGCAGAAAGAGACCAACCGAGGTATTATGATTTGTTTAAAGGTAAGATGAAATGAAATTAACCGCCTGCTTAACAATTAAATCTATTAGTGTATTAGTAGTCATGCAATGCTTTGATATTGCCGATATAATGATATCGAACAATCATTTTATTGCCGCCATGTATGCAATTTTGTTAAGCCAAACTTCAAAAATAAGCTACTACTGCCTTATCGATGACCATGATTATTCAATATTTACCTTCCATGTTTTATCCGATAGTACTATCGCAGGAGGGCACATTTAGCGGTGCAAACTACTTACTACCAGCATATGGTACCTATAGTCTATCTTCGGAAGTCAGAAAATAGTTTTAGTCCTAAGGAATAGCCTAGCATAAGATCAAGTTGCACACTTGACTACGCGACCTTCTACTGCCAGATTATCTATAGCCTCTCTTTAGCGAGAAAAAAATAATGACTTACACTTAAGCTACAGTGTAGCATAGCATTCAATTAATAACCTGAATTTGCATAATCAAGTAGGGCATTTTTTGTGATCAACAAAATCTCCTTTTGCAGCTTCATAACATACGTACAATACTTGAACTTTTTAAGAATGAAATATTTCTCTATCCAGCTGATTGAAATGAGCAATTTTATAGCGATGCACAATATATAAAGTACTCGTATAAGACCAAGAAATTAATGCTTATAGTAAAGTATTTGGACTTGAGAAAGTAAAATTACTAAACTTTATACGTACTGTATAAAGGTTGGAAATTTATAGGAAATTATCGAACAATATATCTGGCAATGAATCAAAAGATAAATAGCTTAAAGAGTATTTATTCACGAATTAATATAGTATTACCATGTAAATGTGATTATGAATTGTAGTCGAATAATTGCGTTCTTTCCACCATATAAAGTTAGGATCATGCGAGTATGGAAAGGCGGCGCAATCGACTGTTAATTGCTATATGATTATTTCTACAGTGAAGTCTCTCCAAGGATAGATACGAGTATCTTCGTATCTGCATATCCTTCCGTACATTATAATCTCGACATTCGTAAATATCGAGTAGCATCCATACTTTCTTCTATAGTCGTAAAATAGTATAAGGCAATTCAAGAAGCCCGATCAATAGTGACGGTTATTAACATTAACTTATTTTATTAGCTGCATACCCATACAAGCAGTAATAATCATAAGGGTCATTCGAAAATAATTAAATCGTTGACAAATCGACAACAATCACATGTTCGAATGAAAAAATATTGCAGACTATATCCAATGTATAGCTAACCAAGCACAACACAATTCATGATATTACAAGCTACAGGTAACCATAACCTAATTACACAGGTACTAAAATAAGGTTTTATAAATACTTTCAGATTACAGTGCTGTAATGCATAATCATGTTAAAAAGCTACAGTGACACAGTATTTATTGTTCACTGTAGAACTTTAACATTATTGTTAGAATTGAAATTAATATCTTAAGTATCAGATATTGTATGTTCTTGTCTTGATGCCAAATTCATAAATTCGTGATAAAGTTAGCGTCAAGAATTTACATATCAACTTTTGCTATATATAACACACATAAATTTGAAAGATAACCAAATCATCAAGAATGAAGCTGTAGATCTTTCAGTTAAATGTACAGTACATGCTAGTAGTACAGGATTCCAGGTCCTGTAGTGAAATTTCGATTAATATCTACGGCTTCTTATTTAATTGTTGGATATTGATAGAGGCCTTCTGAATAGCAAAACGTGTGGTTCTGTAAATGATAAAGTGTTTTTGATTAATACAATTTGGTATAACCGAAAGAGTTGGAAATAATAGTAATCAAATATATGCAATACGATTTCCAGTTAATATGGCCATGATATTGCTAATGTACAGTACACAACTGGACAGTACATACATGTGGGTTAAAGGTTATTTTACCGCAAGGTATGTTCATAGTTAATAGTCATAATAATTTTAATGTATCCAATTTTGTTATGGGTCACAAAACTTTTCTGGTGATATAATATGTTTTACTTTCATCTGTTCAATTTGATCATGTCTTACCATCGCTGAAATTGTATCTGGTATCGTAATCTTTTCTTTCTTTTATTTGTAGTGCACATATACTATAACTATATCGTAGTCCAAATTCTATCTTGCAACCGTATAAATCAATAAAATTCAATTCATGTAATAAAGCTGCAACTGCACTACTGTGATACCACTTTTGTAATATGCACATACTGCATTGAAGAAAAGCGCTAAACTAAGCAAGGAGATTACTATACACAATGTACCTAATATGATACTATCGTTTGTTGTTTAGTTCAAGATAAAATGATAAAGATACAATATTAGTCTAGTCCAAATACTTTACCTGGGCCATGTTTCATATAATGAATCCAGCCCTTGGATTGCTGAACACCAATACCCCGCCATTCATCTTCAGTCATTAAATGATCCTTGGGTACTTTCTTTGCAATATCCTTTGGCAGGATAACATGTCTATAAAAGATATACATATCGCTAATTGAGAAAGTAGTCTATTATACTTTACAACAAGTCAAGTACTTAAGACGTTTAGTAAGATACGTTCAAGTTATAAGTTGAATTAGTTGATAAGTGAAAGGTGACTATTGGAGTAAGGATGATGAAACTATTGAGTTAGTTCTCTAGGGTAGGTATCGCTTGAGTCTTTTATAGTTGTGGCAAGTTGAAACGTAATCCGTTGCACAACAAGTAAAAACTCGCGATAAGGATTAGGCGGTCGACTGTGTTTAAAAGTGTTATTTTAGAATCGGTCGGTAAGTGAACAAGTTAGCATTCAAGTATTGCACACCAAGTCAAAGATTAGTAGCAAAGATCAGTAAATACATTCAAGTTATTGATCCATTCGCAAGTGAATAAGTGATGATTGAAGTCTATTTGCACAACAAGTCAAAAGTAGCGAGAAAAGATTAATGGATACGTTGAAGTTAGAATCAGCAGACAAGCGAAAAAGTGGCTGTTCAAGTGCTATATTGCCCAAGCTGCACCACGATCGAGCACGATACGAATTAGAACTAGAATCAGTGAAAAAGTAATTCCTTATTGCAAATCTCCAACTACTAAGACTATAAGAGTAGCCATCGATTGGAAATCAAAACAAATCTTCCCTATTAGCAAGTATACTACCACTATTAAGGAGATCAAATTGACGGTGCAACTTTGTTCAGTTTATTCAAATAAAGTTTGGATCCAAGGGTAGAGAGAGAGAGAATTAATTGCTCGCCATCTGCAGGCAATGGCGACTCAATCCAAATCTCATCTGCTCAACCGTCATACAGTGAGATTGACTTGCTGAGGGTCAACTATCGCTTGACGCAAGTGAATTTGTTCAACTGTTCTACCGTCACATGCAATCACGATTGTCATCATTACAAGCGTCATCCTTTCTGGACAGGTGAATTGCAATTTGCAACTGATTGACAACATTTTCCTCACCTGTATTCGAAATTTTCGTCAAAGTATTTATCCGAGTAGATTACGTTCTTGTAAGAAGTCATTTTGATTGCAATTTGAAAATGAATTAGTCTAGGAAATGGATAAGTCGTCTACCAACCAAGGTTAATAATTCTACAATCTTTTTCTCGCCAATTTGGTCCAAAATAATGTAACACACAGGCGAACTAAACTATTTTCTACTTGCTGTAAGGTGACCAGGGTAAGAGTGACACTAGGAGTGAGCAGTTAGCCAAGGGAGCAAACAATTTTCAGTTCCAACCGTCGCGATCAGCCACCACCAGTATGGATACTAGCCCATACACAGCAGTCAGAAGATTGTGTAGCTAAGGTCTTGTTCAATGGATTGCGTCAGCAAAATGACAGGCACAGCACGACCTGTCTTCGCTTCAGCTGCCGTCTGTAGTGTGTGTCTAAACGTTGATGTACTTCAGTCTGATCTATACAAAAAGAATACCTGGTCAGGTCATCCTCCATACGGTAGTGTGACAGTCCAGCAAGGGGCGTGTGACTCTATTTACGTACGGTACAGTCAACCAACCGCGTGAACTGTGACGAGTGAAATTTTCAAATTATGGCGCTATTTTTTCATTGGCTAAGAGTAATTCATCAACCAATGAAACATCATCTTGATCATGCGCATGTTTCCTCTCCATTCATCAACCAACAGGGGAAAGGAAATGTTACAAATGTGAACTGTGATGGTCAAATGGATCACCCCAACTGGACAAGGGCCAAAATACACAATATTCCAATCATACAAACTCATTTCCTTTTATTTTATTGATTTATTCCATACAGTGAAAATGTATTAATCGCATCGTATCTGACAGCAAGTGTTGAGCCAACAAGATTTTTTCTGTATGGAACGATGATCGATATTATTCATGGGTTATTATGTCTAAAAATCTCAATTTTAATAATACACAAATTGTACGTAGGCGAAAGCTACGTCAATAGGATGATCGAAACAAGAATCATACTGTCGTACGATTGAAATAGTCGAGGTTTATCCATAACTTATAAAAGGTATACGCTCACCGAGTATACAGCTTTTAGACTGTAAAAAATAAACGATACCGACATCATCCAGTCATAAGTTTCACAATTTTGTACATGCTACGAGCTTTTATTTATTGCAGTATCATATAGCGTAATTGACGCATGATTATGGAATACAAGTACGATTCTGTTAATGTTTGGCGACTAAAAAAGGACCAAACCTGATCTTTACACCTACGCCATACATACATAATTATCAGAATAAATGTTTGTTGTGTACTGTACACTTCACTGAAACTGTTCTACTGGTGCATTATGCCCTTGTGAACATGTCTAGTAAGAAAAAAAATATGCAAACACGACGATTTTAGTAAAACACTTTCAGAGAAGTATCCAAAAAACATTCATTCAGATGGTTGCATCTGTAAATAAACAATTACTGTCTCCATTCCACAGTAGTACAGTAAAGACCCTCTAGAAACAACCTCATTTCTAGTAGACACAGTACTAGTTACAGGCATCGGCAACGCTTTGCAATGTCTTTAAAATACCATAATAATAATTTCCTTCCACCTCAGGCTTACTGACTAATCCTAGCCGAGGTCATGCAACGCCATCATGTCTGTACGCCTGTACGTCTGTGACAGGCGAATTCAAGTGCCTACGCAGCCGTGTTTTGCAGCTGTGTTTACCATATCGCTGTGGCAACAACTTTCACTCGTTTGTATCCAGGTGCTCTCACACGCCGTTCAGTACAGTACTTAGACTCATCACAATCGCTTCGCAGTAAACTCGCCTAACAAGTCCAATGGAGCCAAAGTACAGTACTGGTACCGATACTTTTGATGACGACGATTTGCTGATGGAAATCGGTCATTCATATTGATTCCAGCGCTAGATTAAACAGCAATTATTAGCCAAGGACTTTTTGACTCCATTTTAATAGACAGCATTAGACTGCATCGTTTTAGCTGTAACCTTCTTAACCGGTAATCATGGCTACCAAACGAATTACACAAGAAACTTTTGACGCCGTAGTCAAGGAAAATATAGATGATTTCGAGATGGATGCGGAAGAGGCTGTAGAGGATGCTATTAAACAGTTTGAATCTCAAGGAGTCAATTTAAGTAATATTATTAAACAAGCAGCAACAGCATCCGATGATCAACAATCTGGATCTGAAGCTCGTCATCCTATTTTAACTGCACTACAACGTATACAAGATAGCTTAAATAATCAACTGCAAGAAAAGAATGATGAAAAATTGCAAGATGCTTGCAAATTATTTCAAGAGCAATCATGCCAAGGGGCTGCTTATCGAAATGTTGCCGCAGCTAACGGCGCTTATTCGATCATGTATAAACTTTGCCAAAGTGTAATCAACAATCCTTCCAGCCTTTCGATAGCCTTGCGTACCATGGCTTCACTTATCGATGGCCAACCAGATTTAATGGATAATGTTGGCATTCAATTAATTATGGAAATTTTAAAGATGCACTTCAATGATTCGTTAATACAGCAAACCGGAATCAACGTTGTTCGCCTTGCGTGTATTATGCATGAAAGCAATCGTCAAAAATTTGTTAGCTGTGACTTAATTGAACACTTAATTTCGGTTTTACGTCATTTTACGGCTCAAATTGCTGTCATTAAAGAAGCATGTTCAACACTCCGTACGTTAACTTTAGATGACGATATAAGAGTGCCCTTTGGCAAGGCTCACGAACATGCTAAAATGATAGCTAGTGAATGTAATGGTCTTGAACTCTTAATCGAAGTCATTAAGTTACATTACCAAGATACAACCATCTATTGTGAAATTTGCTCTACAATTGCTAAATTAGCGGTTAGGAATGAATATTGCCAACAAGTTGTTGATTTAGGCGGATTAAAATTGGTAACACAAGCCCTAGCAGAAAGAATGGATGAATCGGTAGGTGCTAACTAATCGATAGCTTACTCGTATTAGTCCGGAGTTGGCTGTGATGTGCAGTACGGTAACACTAGTAGCAAGGAATTCCGATGGAATAAAGTAATCGTTCTATGATGATAATACTGTAGAATTTTTATATCGTCTACAGTATATACTATATGAAGTATCTCGCAGTATTGTATATAGACTCTATTATGTTACTCTGATAAATTGATTATTGAACTAAATACTGTAGATGATTGCCGCAAGATCATGTTTTCTACTTCGTGCAATCTCTGGCAATGACGATGTCAAGATCGCAATAGTAAATTCTAGCTGCGTATCGTTAATAATAGCCGCTATGGATAGGCATCCTAAACATATGCATATTGCAGAGCAAGCCTGTGCAGTTTTCGCATCACTTGCATTGAGACATCCGCAACACTGTGCAGAGATTATATCATGTGGTGGTGCTGATTTCATTTTAAAAGCTATGAAAATTCATGAAGATGTAGAAAGCGTACAGGTTAATATAAATAAAAAATTCTTCTCTTGTCGCATATGTCCTATTGCTATTTGAAAAAAATAAGCTTCATGTGCTCTTGATTTCACACGATAGAAACAAGGATGCTTAGCTATTCGTAACATAGTGGCAAGATCTAGGGAATATTGCAATACTTTTCTAGAAGCTGGAGCTGAAGCCATTATCCGACAAGCCAGACGAAAGCATAAAAGTTGTGACGATGAGGCGAAAGCGGCATTGCGAGATTTAGAATGTGCGGTACAATTAAAGGAATTATGGACTGGATTGCCAACTAATGGATAATTGAATATCTTGGCCAACTCTAATTTCCATACAAATAGCGACGTTTCCTTTTTCGTAAATAGCATATCTCGCATAGTTTTATTGCCACCAAAAAATATTTAATATATAGTGTATCAGTACTGTAAAATCTTTTTTTAGATCTTTGCATATAAGTACCTTAATTATAGCTATCGTTTGTAAAATTTAAATGGTTATCAATCTACGGAGGTAATGAACGACTTCAATTCTTACACTTTTACCTATGAAAACATTTCTACGGTAATCTTGGCAATCTAAATTATAACTTCAATAGCCCTTCTCGAGTTTACCTATCCGAGTGTTATTGTATATAGCTAGAAATAGTTCCTTTTATTGACTCTTGAATTTGTAATGATATACTATATGTGGAACATAAAGGTATATTTGTTTTATTATCAAGTGCGGATAAAATTTTCGTTCCAACATGGATAATTGCTTTCCAGTATAGTGTTACAGAATAGTGTTGACAGTATGTTAAAATTTAGTCCTGTATACGCGAAAATTTTCGTAGATCGCAAATTGCAGGCATTAATTATTCAATTTGTATATTGCATAATTTATGCTTCCAATAATTCAGTAGAATTTAAGATTATTGTTAGTAATAGAAATCTACTGTAATCTAGAATAATTGATTTATCTGTAAAAATAAAATTTCAGCGTTAACAAATACTGAGTTTATTTAAATTTTGCAAATCGAGTAATAATTTGCTTTATAAATCCTGTACAAGAGTCTATTAATTCATAGAAAAACAATGCCTATTTTGCGTATTGACATGCGTACATTCAAATGACGGTTTCTAGCATGCTGACGTGGATATACGAGTATGTGATGAATTATTCCCGTTGAAATTATTTATTGTATAAATAATTACACAATCAAGCATCAGTATATAACGCTGGTAGTTCTTGTAGGAAAACGACTTAAAACCAATCATCCTATTCGCCCATATATTATAACAATATATGGATATGGTATAATACTGTATATCGGTAAATATTTATATAAATAAGACGAGAAAGAGTTTGAGCCATAGAACACTTCTTTGGCTATAATGGGTAACAAATTAGCTCTTGTCGTAATCAGGGCGATTAGGAAGTATTTCATTAGAATAATCATAGCCTGAATATTCAATCATCAGGTTTGTTAATGATTAGTTCTCCTTCTATTTAGGTCATGCTTGTACGCATAAACGATCATCCCATAAAGTGTACACGTACAAATAAATTACTACATGCATACGCGCATATACATCGGGAATTATTAAAAAAATATGCTATATACGCGTATGTGTACAAATAAACGCTACAGTATACAATCATGCCAACTGCTTCGATGAAGGCTTCGTTTTCAGTGCGCAATCTGCATAATGGAGGGAACATGATCTTCCCCTATAATAGTGCAGTATAAATACAATCTTATTATCCAGATGCCCATCTTTTTTCTCTTTTACCACAGATTTCAATTGTCAAGGTTTTGGTATGGCATTGCACATTGAATCATAATAAAGTAACTATAATAACAGTGCATTTACGAGAAGAGCACAAGAAGCACATTCCACTAGGAATAGTTGATTATAGACGTTTGAAAATTGGCGTGCTATGAAGTGAACTGTTATATTTTGTTATGGCAAAGTACTTCGTTATAATTATTAAAAGTCACATTAGACGATGGCTAACCTTAGTCAAAGGAGCAGTTTATCTAATATCGGACAATATTACGCTTGGATGAAAAGCCAATCCAAATTAATGCAACAAAATACATTGATAAAATAACGATGAAGATGTATCTAACGTAGAAAGGTCGGGCTACAGTACATCGGCCATTGCTGTAAATGACAGAATATTTAATTTAGTCGAATTTCCTTCACTAAAAGAATGAAATCATGTAAATGCAAATGTATACAACTTGCCTTGGACTACTTGCAGCGGGATAAATTAATAAAAATTTGACCTTTAAGCAATCGTTATCCTGAACTATCACATATTTTTCAGTACCACTCCTACGTCACACAGTAAGCAGCAATCACAATTTACATTTAATACTTGACTAAATCTTTTGATGTATAATTTACAAATAAAATAACTCTAAATAGTCTCCACCAAATTTAAACAGCAATTACTTATTTTGATTTGCAAGAATTCGAGGATGCTTTATAACTTCACAAACAGCAACACATGAGATAGATTTGGCAATCATGCTTTTATCCCATGTAGAACCGGTCGTAGAGAAATTTAAGGAAACATCCAAATCAGTTGATAAATAAGTTCCTTCACCAAATAATGATCTCTATCGCATAAGAATGGCAACTTTATTAATATTGATAGACAGTAGGATCAGCGATATCTCATACAAAAAGTTACAGTTCTTTTTTTACTTCTGATCGTGACTCGTATACAAATTGCAATTTCAACTTACATTATTTAAATGTGATAAAAGACCAACATGTAGAATGGAGAAGAAATTTTCGACACCACTGCCATGAAATCCATAAAAAGAACCATACTGGCTCTTAAGTTCGTCAAAACGACTGCTAGAACTTTTTCCTTTATAGATTATATCAAAAATTAAGCTAGGGCGGGTACCATTACGAAAGCCAGTTGCGGTTAGAAGCTCTTCCAACTGGGCAGTACGAATATACGAGCCAATAAGAAAAGAATTATACGTATATAATTATCAAATAATTATTAACGGCTAAAACATAGATAGCATCGCCCAGTTATACATATCATGCACTGCTAGTAAGGACTGCTTATAGAGAATTCTTCTTGATTTACGGTAAATATTGTACAGTATTTTGGTAAGGATATGACTAACCTTAGTATTGGGTAAGATCTTTAGGTGTACGAAAGTGCTATCTTCAACTAGTAGCCATTCTAAAAGCTCAATAGAATGAGCCGATAGACGAGTTTCTTCCTGAAGTAGTTCGCCAATGCCTGGGATTTGACGAAATGATTCTCTCTACATTTATGAAGATGTAGTATACGTACTTTAGTTTAGCAAATGTTGATCTTACATTTTACAAATGTCATAACATGAACGAGGCAGAAAGTTACTAGTGGATAATGCGATTTTGTTGATAATTAATTATTATCTTACGTACTCTACTTGTATTGAAGTGATTAACTTATCCTTTTATACGAATTTGCAGGTCATTAAATCTTAAGAGGTAAAGTATTGTTGTACGTGGTAAGCGATCACTATTAATGTCATCAGTGTCTCTGACTTCAAATCAGCCTATTGAGATTTGCTACCCCATTCAAGGCTTGAAATAATTTGTTGCGACTACAATATTTTGCGTTGATTAAAACTAATTTTATTGTTGTAATAACTGCAAGTATTTAAATGTAGTCTGTAATAGGATAAGTAGTAGAGTGATTACAATTCCGTACTTACCAATGAATCGATCTGTTTCTCCCCAAACCTGATGTAAGTTTGTGGGAAAGGACGTAAAACGCTGTCAAAACGAAAACTTCTTAATGCTGCACTAAAAAGACTGATCTTGAGGTCAGTAGCCAATCTGTCTCTCTCAATGGTCAAGCGTAACTTAGTCCTCAACATGTCGTCGTTATTGCATTTGTAGATCAAATTCAAGGAGACTACTAGGTTTGTTGTTCATACTCCAAATATATCGATCGAGGAGATTTACAAGGGCATTTCTCTCTCTTTTCTCTCCTACACTGATTGAAATGCTTTTAATCTACAACGATACCTTTCAATGCTCTCTAAATCCTCTAGATAATTGTAATTTGTTAACAAACGCGATAAAAGAACTAGACTGAGCTGATAGTATTTGACAGATCGATTAAATTGCTCGTTCAATATTATTGCTGTGTTTACTACTGTAGTTGGACACTGATAAAATCTCTTTTCCTCCACTATGATACTTGTGAGTCTGCTAAGTGCTAAATAATACTGGAGATCATCTGTTCACACAACTGATAAAAACAGCCAAACTTATCGAAAATACAGTAGAGCAGTTTTAGAAGGTTAGATAATAATATTGATTAGCTAATTGAAGCTGATAAGATTTCTCCTTATCTATTTCTACCCTATATTAAGCACTTTGAAATCAACTCAGTACTCAAGATAATCAGTTAATACAATCGATCAAAACAACTAGAGTGAAGTTATCAGAGATAGAGTAATTTCGATAATTTCAGATAGCATTTGCTGTGGAATTGTCAATAAATCATCATTGAAAGTTGTTGCTGAATAGCATCGTCAGGCAGTCCGTTCAGTAAAAGCTTTGCAAACATCTAGTCTGCTAGGACAATCTTTTATATATATTGTACGTATACTGAAACAAAAGTATCACGAGCAGGGTGTAGGACTCGTTTTGAGTAGAAGTGTTACTATTCTGGCACAGAGCAGACTGAGACTGATAGAATGCTATAGCAAAAACTCTCATCACCAAGTTTTACTATGGGCATATTGCTGGCCTAAAGTATATACCATACTCTAGTCCAGTTGTGCACTGGCACTGGATGTTACCACATCATGATATGACATTATATTGCTACAATTCATACCAGGCACTTTGCATTTTTAATTTCTTTCCCTTGTTCATACACTACGATAGAAAAGGTGTTTACTTTATACTTTATTATACTGTATAGAGCCATTTGCTACTAGTAACTCCGGAGCAAAGGTTGGTCGAGCTAACTCCTAATACAACTCGTGTTTCCAATTACAGCATTTTCTATAGTATGCTTTTACGATTATAGCACTGTTCTATACTGTACAGAACTATAGAGTCTATAGACACATTGGTAGGCTACACCACTCCACTATTGTTGCTGTACTAGCCGGCGAGTAAAGCTGTTAACACATCTTGTCTACCATCAAAATCGAGGAGCAATTCGTTTATTGACTATAATTTATCTGCTATATCATCAGCCAAGCACGCAAAAGCAATGATTCGAGCTCCAATAAGGTTAAACTTTGGTCAGGTCATTTTTGCTATGGTCCTTGGTGTAGTCAGTGGAATCTACATCTTTAAACCGATGCTTCAACAGCAGCTTCTGAATGAATTAACTGAAAAAGAATTAAACCAAAGTCATCAAGATCGCAAAAACAACGAGCCCAAGCAATCAGCACTGACTGATGTAAAACAAGATGAGGAAGTGTAATAGCAATGATTTCAGTAGATGAGATGCGGTTAACAAATGTTAAGGATATTATTGCTTTTAAATGCTTATTGATTGAGCACATAACGCAAATATTGTACAGCCGGCTGCATGGAAAAGAAGAAACTAACAAAGTAGATTATGGTGTGCTTCTGCCTTCCACTGTGCAAAATTGTACGGATCTTTATGTAATGGTCAATACATACCTAGCATGATGTGTGCTTAACCAGCTAATGGCAACTGACATTTTAATCCAGACAGGAAGAAATTAAGATTTTAAAGATTATAGAATGTTATAGTGTAATGTACGAGTCTAAATATCTGCAGCAAAAACAAACGTGCGTGCAGCATAAAACACTGGTGTGCAGTCGAGATTGCATCAAGACCAAAGCTTGATTAATCATCTATTTGCAAGTACAGTATGGGGCTATACGGAGCACTTGTAATAAGAGACTAATTTTAAGTATTTTACCTTACGTAGTATACAGTATATCTTCAACTTTTCATGCTAGTGGTTAGCGATTCCATTCCTACTTATTTAACTAGTCTTTGTCATTGCATAATCATAATAACTGCCTACTCAATGCCATGAACTTCTAGATCTCTAAGTCCATGTCAATGAATAGTAATGCGTAGTGCAGTAATTTTATATTCCGTGTCAATAGAAGATTTTAAATTGGAGCTAAAGCAATTTTGGAAATTATGACATCTCAGTTTAGAAAATCAAGCTTGACCTTAATATGTGTCTCTGATGGATCGTGATTACGATCTCGCTTGTCTTGGCATTCGATATTCATAGTTTTACTAGTTTTGGCAATCTTGTTATCAATGTTATTTTATTCAGATCTCACTTTACTTCAATATACATTTCGTTATTTATTATGGGATGCAAAAGGTCTAATTATTCTCTTGCAGTGTCAACCTGCTCGAAATTGTCCTACCGTACGAGCATATTGTATGTTGCAGTGTGAAATGCAGTCATATGCATTAGATGGTATGTTATCATAGCCATTGCATAAAGCATAGTGTCGAATAGATGATAGAACTATACTTACTATCAGCGTTGTTCACAATTAAATGTTTAATGTTATGCTAAAATGGCCTAATCATAACATAATGTTATAAAATCTTATATATAGTGTACAAACATGAACTACTAGATGCTAGTCCACGGTACAAGTCAGTACATTGTAGGCCATAACAAACGCCATATAGCTACAGGACGCAGGCAGAAGGATATAAGAATGAATTATGGATAATAATGATGTGCTGGTATTGGAAAGCAAATAAAATTTGATGATAAAAGATTTTATTAATTATACACCATGATATAATAAATGAATAAAAACGTGTATTATCATGCAATCTTGACATTTGCTTACAACAAATTGTGCTGGAGATTGCAAATTATGGTTATTATACAGTCATTTTGAAGATGTTGGGCTTAAAATGCAAGTGCAAGTAAGGTATCCTGGATGAGATACAAGATATTCTTACCTGAACCTTATCACCTAAACTTTTTAAAATTATAAAATGATCAAAGCCCGTATTTCAATTACAGTTAACCTTATACGGAAGACAAAGAGCCATAGTTTCATAGTGATGTACCAAGACAAAGTAAATCATGACCTAAACCTTACATATATTTAAGACATTACAGTGCTATCAAGAGTTAAGGGAATACTTTAATATTATCGATGATATAATAAGCAAATCCTTCAAAGTAAAACAATTGCAAGCTATCTCTCAGCCAATTAATAGTAGAATATGATTTCTTCGTTTGTCGATCAGAATACAGTATATTCTCATGCTTGTTAACCACAGCGAATTCATTCGAAACCAATAATTGGATAACTTAGAGCTCTTTTGAACCGCATCATTCTTATTTATCTTTTCATCTACTACCTGCTTCTTTTCATACATCCGAGCTAACCGAGCGTTATCAGTATGTCTATTGGCAGGAATAAAGTTTTAGATGGTTCTAGTTGAATATTGTTTTATTATTTTTCTTTTCATCTGTTAACACATTTGTAGTATTTTTACTCTTTCCCATTAGCCTACCTAACCTAAATGTATCCTCATACCCATTCCTTTTTCAGGAAATGGATTCTCTATTCCTTTTGAATCTACTTGCGTCCCATCTCCTTTCTTTCTACCCACTACTCAACTCGCCGTTTTCTTGCTCTTTTCGGATATCCATATCAATCAAGATTGATCGGTATGTTTCTTTTCAGTTCAAAAAATCCCTAGATAATGCGTCTTTCTTGTGGATCTTATCTAGATCGATCTTCTTTCACTTTTACCAGTATGTCTATTTTCAGAGGTTGAATGCTTCAATAATTGGATATCCTTTTGGATCGCCTCTATCGCTTGTCCTTCCATTTATTTATTACTCAGCTCCATGGACTACTAGATGCACCTAGTAGTCCATGCCAGTTTATTATATTCTTACTCTTTCCAGACATCCATGTTAACAAGGTCTTTGCAGCGTATCCAGTTGTCCGAAATCCGCTATTAGAACATTCGGAGTTATTTTTGGTTCCTTTTTTGTTGTTTTCCTTTCTGCCTGTTACCTAATTCATAAAATTCTTGCTTGTTCCAGTTATCTACTCTAGCCAAGACTTATTAACACATCTACGGATTGCAGTAAAATGAATCGACATTCTACTGTATTATATCAATGTAGCCATACGTATAAAATTATACGTTATAATATAGATGTAATAACAGATGCATTTATTCTGTTCCGTCAGACAGTAGAATCCTCTTCTATATCTCTGTAGCCTTCTACCTGTATACTGTGTTCTCATTTTCTGATAGACCTGCTTCATATTCTCCTATCACCCTTATCATTTGTCGTTACCGTTTGTTTCTTTAAAAGTTTCTTACACAGACTACGCTGTATACTATGTACAGAACCTTCAACTTTAGCCTGAATAAGTAGTTTACTTACCTCTTCAGTTAGCTTAGATAATTCATTGTTCATGAATGCAACCCACTGTTGAGTGGCAAGGTTGTATTTAGTCTTATTGTAATAATTTGTGTCTGTAAATCCTTGCAAAAGTGCGCTGCACTTGTTTAATGGGTCATGGCTAACTTCATGTCTTAGACATTCCAAGTATTTTTTTGTATTAGAAATTAACTCAGATAAATGTTTCTGTAAAAGTAACTTACTAGCAACACCATTATCACTCGGTTTGTCCATGTTATGGGTGTCGTTTTCGCATTTTAATGACGTCTTATTAGCAACAATATGCTTAGAAGATCCTTGAAGCATAGGAAACACAATCATGATATATATACCAAATAAGCAGACAATCACAGCTACAATAATGTAGCTTGAAGGTGCTAGTAACATTTTCTTGTGCTCAGCGGTAACGACTTTTTTATTTTGATTGATTGATTCAGTTAGAGCAGACTTGCTAGAAACAATACCACTCGATTCCGTTATTTCGCTATCATACAAAAAATCAGAACCTGCCTCCTTTACATCCGGTTCGATCTGGTTACTTAATGTTATATCATTATCGGTAGATAATTCTACAGCCTCGTCTGGTTGAACGATAATCGTAGACCCATTCTCGGATTTATTATTAGAAATTGCAAAAGCTTCGATTTGACGGCATTGCATATCTTGGTCTACATCGGCGAGGGTACCGCTATCCACTAAGCAATAACTACCTGCATCACTGATTATAGCGTCAGCTTTATTATCAGCGTCGAGTATAGTATTCATGATATCGCCGTTGAAAATATTGCGCCCATCTAAACTACTATGACTTTTCAAGACAATATAGTCACTTGTATCTAATGATGTATCCACGTCCGAATCAACTTGGCCCTAATAAAAATTAAAATTAGAATACTTAGCGTCATTATCGTTTAGTAATTTACACTATGTTTACACGTCAAAATCTAAAGTACAGTACATATACGCGTATAGTTTAACACATAATCCGCAAAGTAACGGAGAAATGATCAGAGGGTTTTAAAATAAAACAGACAAGCAATCATAACCACTGAAATTAGGAACGTGGCAAGCTCTTGTCAGCCAAAACTGAAGTAAAATTGATATCAAGATCAAAGTAATAATTAATTATTATTGGAGATGATGATCAATCGCTGAATTTATTTGTAAGGCAATTTTAACTATCAATCGGATGAGAGAGATATCGCTATCCATGATAATAATGTACTGTACAATGTACGCGTCCTTTTTAACTGATCATAATCATCAATAAGTTTTAACATATAAAATGACTAGCTAGAAAGAGAAGCAATTTGATTTCTCCAAGTCATTGCTACTGTTTACTGACAAGCGGATCAGACGGTAATATCATCCACGATATACATACAGTAGGTCATTTTCTGGCATTGAGATTTTCCCTTGACTAATATCATTACATTTAGCCAGAGGAGGATCTCACCATTGCAATACCAAACATGTCCTTGTTACAGATCATGAACGTGCTATGGTACAAAATAATTCAGCTAGAAAGGAGAAGTGATTTGATCTTTTCATTCCTGACAAACAGATCGCATTATTATGACTGTGGTCACTGTGATGACTGTAAATAACATTTCTACCATACTTAAGAAGGAAAACTTAACGACTGATTCCTAATAACCTGACAATGAAACTACGTACTGTCATAATTATTAATATACTAATAGAACCCACGCTTGTTATACTTCGAGTATTGCATTATATCCGCTGTCATGAAAACTAATTTGATCTCGCCGCGCGCCATGGCTGACAAACAGAGTACATACCATAAAATTGTATCAATTCTTATTAATTACAATCGGTAAAAAGTAAAGGTTTAAAGCAGTTAATCTCGATAATAGGACAATAAACTACATAAAGTAGATCTTTACGGAATCATTTCGATCTCCAGTTCTATCCTTCATTATGCCTAGGTAATCGACTACCACCCGCATGGTTAATTCAAAAAGTATATAATCATTATTCAACTATACTGGATTGGAAACTGGACGTTAGGCGTGAAATTAGGTTTTACGCTTCTTTACAACATCAATAAACCCTAACAAAACCTACAAAATTGTTGCCGTCTTCCTTTAGGATCCTCAGATCGGAGGTAGCATTCATGATCGATAATTCACAACACACGCCGTTTTAAAATTGATAGCAAATTTTCCTACAATCAAGTCCTGCACGAAATAATAGATGATGATGTGTGTGTAGAGTGTAAAAACGGATGCAAACACTTATCAGATATGCGCATATTGCCAATATAAATAAAAGCCGTAATTAATATTAATTACCATAACATATATAGCTAACAATAGCTGCACGGCGTTACTAGTGCGAAAAATAAATACATAATTAAAAGTACTATACTATGGAATAACTTTTTAAATATCGAGGCTTTGGCCATTCTAAAGTCGACGATGACCTTCCACATTGGCAGTTTCACACATTAAAGTAATTTTTTAATTGTTAATTTCTATCTGCTTCGATTTTATAGCCCTCTTATACGAAACCTTCTTTTCTTTTATAATAATATAAAAAATAAAGAATTAATTAAAAAGCCCAACCGGTACTGGTACTTTACTTTGATTCTATAGCTGTCACATACAGGTTAATTTTTCGTCACTAATAGAAGATAAATAAATGATGGTCCAAACTTGATCTTTAAGCTGAATACTAAACTAAAAACTTATAAGCAAATAAAATTTGATAATAAAAGATTTTATTATACATCACGATGTAATAAGTCAATGAAAATATAAAATGTATATTATCATGCAATCTTGACATTTATTTATAACAAATCGTGCTAGAGATTGCAAATTATGGTTACTATACAGCCATTTTGAAGATGTTAAGCTGAAAATATAAGTGCAAATATCAGGTATCCCCGATGCGATACAGGATACTATTACCTAAACCTTATCACCTTAATATTTTAAATTTATAAAATGATCAAAATATCATTCGCTGCAGTCCGCTGTATTTCAATTACAGTTAACTTTTATACGGAAGATAAAGAGCCATACGATTCGCAAAAATGTACCATAACAAAGTAAATCATTACCTAAACCTTACATATACAGTATTGAAGACATTGCAATGCTAACAAGACTTAAAGGAATACTTTAATATTATTGGAGGTGTAATAAACAAATCCTTCAAAGTAAAACTATTGCAAGCTATTTGTCAGCCGCGTCGAAATATTTTTTTGCTGCCTTCTTTGGCCTTATTGAAGATCCGATTAATAGAAGAATATGCTTTCTTCATTTGTCGATTATAATATATTCCCATGTTTCTTAACCACAGTGAATTCCTGGGAAACCAATGGTTGGATAACGTTGAGCTCTTTTGAGCCGCACCATTCTTGTCCGTCTTTTCATCTACTACCCACTTCTTCTCAAGTATCTGTGCTAGCCGAGCTTCGTCAGTATGTCCATTTGCAGGAAATGAAGTTTTAGGCGATTTTGGCTCTGATTTCTCTTGAATATTGTTTTTATTAGTTTTCTTTTCATCTGTTAATTTAGTTTTCTTTTCATCTGTTAATTCAGTTTTCTTTTCATCTGTTAATATATTTGTAGTATCTTTACTCTTTCCCATTAGCCAACTCAACCTAAACTTATCGGCATACCCCATTCCCTTCTTTCTACCCATTACCCAGCTTGTCGCTTTCTTGCTTTTTTTGGATATCCATGTCAACCAGGATTGAGAAGTGTGTTTATTTTCAGCTAAAAAATCCCTAGATGATTCGTCCTTCTTATGTATCTTATCTGCATCGATCTTCCTTTCACTTTTATCAGCAGGTCTATTTTCAGGGGTGGAATGCTTCGATAATTGGCTATCTTTTTGAATTGTCTCTTTATAGCTAGATGGACTACTAGATGCACCTAGTGGTCCACGCCAGTTTATAATATTCTTACTCTTTTCAGATATCCATGTTAACCAGGTCTTTGTAGCGGATCCAGTTCTCCGCAACCAGCTGTTGTTATTAGGTTCTGTGTTATTTTTGATTCCATTTTTGTTGTTTTCCTTTGTACCTGTTACCCAACTCATAAAATTCTTGCTTGTTCCAGTTATCCATTCTAGCCAAGTCTTATCAGCACATTTTCTTTCAACTTTAGCCTGAATAAGTAGTTTGTTTACTCCTTTAGTTAGTTTAGATAATTCATTCTCTATGGAAGCAATCCACTTTTGAGTGGCAAGGTTGTATTTAGTCTTATTGTAATAATTTGTGTCTGCAAATTTTTGCAATAGTGCGTTGCACTTGTTTAATGGGTCATTGCCAACTTCATGCCTTAGACATTCCACGTATTCATTTATATTATAGATTAACACAGAAAAATGTTTTTGTAAGAATACCTCATTAGTAACACAAATATCGCTCGGTTTTTCCACGTTGTGGGTGTCGTTTTCGCATTTTAATGACATCTCATTGGCAATAATATGCTTAGAAGATCCTTGAAACATAGGAAACATAATCATCATGCTAATCAAGCAGACAATCACAGCAATAATGGTGTAGCTTGAAGGTGCTAGTAACTCTTTCTTGCACCCAATAGTAACGACTTTTTTATTTTGATTGATTGATTCAATTAGGGCAGACTTGTTAGGAATAATGCCACTCGGTTCCGTCATTTCGCTTTCAGACAAAAAGTTAGAATCTGCCTCCATCACATCCGGTACAATCTGGTTAACTGATGTTGTATCATTATCGGTAGTTAATTCTACAGCCTCGTCTGCCTGAGCAATAATCGTAGACTCATTTTTCTCAGATTTATTATCAGAATTTAAGGAAGCTTCGATTTGACTGCATTGCGTATCTTGGTCTACATCGGTGAGGGTGCTGTCATCCACTAAGCAATAACTATCTGCATCACTGATTATAGCTTTATCGTCAGTATTGAGTAAAAAATGAGTGATGTCGCTACTGGAAATGTTAGGGCTATCTAAGCTACTTTGCGTGTTTAAAACAAAATAGCCACTTATATCTGATGATGAGTCCACGTCCGAATCAATTGGATCCTAATAAGATCAAAATTTAAAAAAGAGAACTTAGCTTCATTATCGATTAGTAATTTACGCTACGTTTACATATAGAAATCTAAAAGTGCAACATGTATACGCGCATAGTTGAACACCGAAGGACAAACAACATCGACAACGCTGAGCAAAATACCGATAATCCCCAAACGAACAGGGAAATGATCAGAGGATTTTTAAAATAAAGCAGACAAACAATCATAACCACTGAAACTAGAAACATGGCAAGCTCTTGTCAGCCGAAACTGAAGTAAAATTGATATCCTGATCAAAATAATAATTAATTGTTACAGGAGATGATGATCAATTGCTGATCTTATTCGTAGGGTAATTTTAACTATCAACCAGATAAGAGGGGTATCATTATCCATTACAATAGTTAAAATATAATATACTGTACAATGTGCATGTCCTTTTTAACTGATCATCAATAAGTTTTAAGTTTTAATCTACAAAATGACTAGTTAAAAAGAGAACTAATTTGATTCCTTGATATCATTGGTGCTGTCTGCTGACAAGCGGATCAGACAGTAGCATCATCTACAATATAATGTACATTTATTATACGTATAGTAGGCATTTTCTGGAATTGAGATTTTCCCTCGACTAATATAACTATAATTAACCTAAGAAGAAGGATCCCACCATTCATTGCAACATCATACGAGTCCATGTCCTTCTTGCAGATCATGAACATGCTATCGTATAAAATGAGTCTGCTAGAAAGGAGAAGTGATTCGATCTTTCTATTCCTGACAAGCTAAGTGCATTACTACTACTGTGGTCACTGTGATGGCTGTCGAAAGTATTTCTACAATACGTAGAAAGGAAAGACTTAACGATGGATTCGCAATAATCTGATAGTAAATTACGTACCGTAAATTATAATATACTAGTAGAACCAATGCTCGTTATACTTTGCGTACTGCATTATATCTGCTTGTGACAAAAATTAATTTAATCTCTTCGCGCCAGGACTAACAAGGAGAGTTGCATACAAATATATTAATTCTTAATTGCTAGTTACTGTAGTTACAATCGGTAAAAAACAAAGATTTAAACAGTTAATTTCAATAATATGACAATAAACTATATAACGTAGATCTTTATGGAATCATTTCGATCTCTAGTTCTATTCTTCATTTTGCCTACGCAATCGACTACCATCAGCAAGGTTAATCCCAAATGTATGCAATCATTTTTCAACTGTACCGCATTTGGAATTGAATATTAGGTGTTAAACTAGTTTTTTGACTTCTTTACAACATCAATCAATCCTAATAAAACTTACAAAATTGTTGTCATCTTCCTTTAGCCCCTTCACATCGTGAGTAACACTCATGATGGATAATTTACAACATCAATCGCTTTAAAATTGGTAGCAAAAATTTCAACAATCAAGTTTTGTACGAAACAAAATAATAGATGATGACTGTCTACTAGGTGAAAAAATGATGCAATGTAAATAAATACCGCAATTAATAATAAACGAGTATATAATTAATTAACTGAAGAGACCAACCGGTAGTTTACTTCCTGTACAGTCTACTACTGTGGATCATAAAACACTCGACTTTTCAGTGCATACTATATACTGTATGTGGACTTTGCAGGCATAGTTGTACAATGCACTGCACATTTACATATGGGGCAGAACGATGACGTATCTATAGTAGTTTGGGGAAAGCTTCCGACTTTTCTTTCAGGACCTTCTTTAACCCCTAGTGCTGCTGTTAGCGGGGGGTTACGAGGGAAGGCTCTGATCTAGTATTTTGGACCTTCCCTTCGCATAAACGGTCAGCACTGGGGTAGCTTAATTTTTGTCTGTGAACGGCACCCGATATGGGAAACTCTAGTAGGAGTGCTGTAGCAGTCCTCAGTGTTCTACAGTATTGGACTATGGACTACTAAAAAAGGAAATGGTCTCCATGATTAGACTTTTTAATTCATTTTTTTTAATCCATCGAGAGAAATATTTTGAACAATTAGAGACTTGGCTAATACAAAGTAAACTCATTTTCACTAATAATAATTATAATTCGTATAGATATACAGTATCTCGTATATGCAGTACTAGCTGAGATACCCATTCGAAATGAACTTCGAAAAGCATTACAGACTTTACTAACATATGATAAATAAGGAACGTTTAGGAGTAAATGTGATACACAGTATAGTAGTTCGTCCATATTAGTAAGCGGTGGACAATTAAATTGTACAGTAAAAGTATGGACCACTAGAAAAAACAGTAGTGGTCCATGATTAAAGGTAAAAGTATAAGTACGCAAAGTGTAGCGAGCGAGAGATCGACTAGTAAGAATCATTTACTGAAAATTGTACATTCTACTATTCAATTTGATATAACAGCGAATAAAATGGAGACCTATGCTAAGCAATTATCAAAATTATTTATTTCATATGATAGGAAAACAATTCGACACGCATACGTGTATAAAGACTACAACTCGTGTCAATATGTCAGCATGTTGCAATTGTAATATCAAATAGTTCACAATTCATAACATAAAAACGCAGTATCTTAAAAGTAAGAACCAAAACGGGCTAAAATTAAATGTATAACCGATAGATTTAAAAAAATGGATATAACATCCAATCAGAACAGTAATTCAAACTCTAAAAAGTCTAATACAGCCGTTATCAGTCAATGTTGCGCTTCATAAGAGTGCGCCAAATGAAATTTTTACATTTTATTAACTTTAGATTTGTTCAAAATGACTAATTATTATATCAACTTTCTGCAAGATTATAATCCAGCTATAAAAAAATCATTCCATTATGCAAAAACTGTCCAGATATACAGTACGTATATCACCTTTTGGATAAATTATCAATCTGTACAAAAACTACATCTAAATTTATCCGAAATTGTACATGTGGTCATGTACTGAATTAAAACCATGTTATCAGTATACGAGTATTACATATGATAATTATACAAGTAAAAATAACAATATTAAGAATCACCGGCATTATCACCTAACTCTTGCGTGGTATCACCGGCATTATCTTTTAACTCTTGCGTAGTACCACTGGCATTATCCTTTAACTCTTGTGTGGTATCTCTGATATTATTATTATCTAATTCTTGCGTAATATCACCCGTCACTTTCATTTCACTTTTTAGAGCATCTTTCACGAACGGTTCAAGTCGTTCTTCTAAACTATGGCCCATCAAATCTTTTCTGGTAATGATACCAGAAATCCTAGAACAATAAGCTTAGAGTTATCATCAAACTTTAACAGCTACCGTATACGTATCGACTTGTATAAATTAACGGAATGATCATACCTGTTACTAGTGTCGGTAACAATTAAGTGTCTGGAAAGCAATAGAGATCGAATTAGGTACAATTTAAAAGAAGACAAATTTTATACCAACCATAAAATTGTCAAAAAATATACCTTAAGCCAAGAGTTCGAAAGAGAGCGTAAACTCTATACAAGGAATATGACTCTGGTACACAGATCGGCGATTGTCCATAATAATGTGCCTAACAAATATTATCGAGCTCTTAACTTATTTGTATAGTAATTACAGTTTAGCAGAATCAGTATTTATAGCCCATAGCAGCATAACTTGTTACTTACCAAATCTATGTAAAGGTCATTATATTTTTCATCATGACAGTACTTTTCAAGAGCTTCTTTAACTGGGCCTTCATTCGGCTTTTCAAGATGTTTAGGTGCTTCGATAAACTATAAAAGGACTCATGAAAATCAATAAAGACAAGCTCCAAGAAGCAAACAAATTCATTTTCAAACGTTTTACCTGCTGATAATCTAGCACGGGAACATCAACAGGACTTGCTTCATTAGATTCGAATAAATCTTCTTGTAACATTATCAAATTCAACTCTGGCCTAAAATAACAACATCTCTTTACACATCTTACACATTCTGTAATATCGTAATATTTATAAGAATTTCAGAATCTGAATATTGATCTCACTTAAACTTAAAACATTTACAGACATTTACCTTTTGATAATTCCGCAAACTATCTCGGTACCTTCAACTTCTTTAACAATAGGAAAGCCACAATGTTGGCAATTCAATAGCAACTTGGCAATATCTGCAACGCGTTCTCGCGATCGCAGAATCTAGTCAATAGAATAATGTTAATTCTCTACGATCATAAATTTTACACTAAAACATTGTTACCAGAGGATTTTTCGCCATAATTTGTCCAGCCGTAAAAAGTTCTATGCTAACGCTAAACAAGCAGAAAGTATAGTAAATTAACATCTCATTCATTCTTTAAAATGCAGTAAGTAAAGTCTTTACTTGTCTTTCTTGTTATGTAATATAACCGGTTCCCAGTTTAAAAATGGGATGCACTTCATTTCCATTAATGCATGATACAGCGAATGGGTAATGGTATCACCGACCCACTTTGCAATTATGACGGCAGTCATTATACATAATAAGAACTGCACGTCATTGGTAATTTCCATCTTTATGTCCGAAAGTTATATCAAAGTATTAGTTCTATTATTATTAATAAGAAAAAAAATAAAATAAACCAGACTCTTTTACATACCATAATTACTGTCAATGACATTGTTAAGCGTGAGACACCAGCAAAGAATGATGCAGAGCCAATTAAAGCAAATGCTCCTGGATCTATCCATGTCCAGTATCCTATCATTGCGTTGAGAGAATATTGAAAAATTTTAAATATAGGTGCATGTTGCATTTCTATTAATACTTATTTTATGCATCTCATTTTTGTTCTTCTACGCGTACCTGCACGATGTATGCCAAACATATGTACCATGATACGTCCAACAATGCGGCCGTATAATGAACCTATTAAGCTATACCAATTTATAGAGATTGCCGTAAAATTTAGCCACCCTATCAATTTTATTAAATCTTATTTTCTTTAAACTTACAGCATCGGTACAACAAGACCACTAGCGACTGACGTCCCAGAGGACCAGCAGGATAAAAGGAAATAAATAACTAGAATTGCTATTAAAGGCCTACAATTTTTTAAAGAATTATAAATTTACTAGCATGTGTACAAATGACATTTATTGATGTGAAAATTTTCATTATCATAGAAGATAAAGTCAAGTCGCTCCTAACATACCCAAAATCGAATTCTAAATGGGTATTGCGTGACAAAAGATGTTTTATAGCTTCTTCACCAGTCACAAACATTAACGTTGCAACTAATATTATGCCAAAAGCAAGAAAGATTACATTAATTTGCATTGGCAATCTTTAATCAAATAAATGTGTTGACAACTACTGTACTAGTATTAGTATCATTTCTACAGTATTTATGATATGTTTACTATACTCGTATACAAATGTACATCAAATAACAATCGAACCTACCTTGACTATAAGATCTATTGTAGAATACAGTGGTATCATTATAGTTAATGTTAACACCAGCTTCACAAGTATATAGTTGTACATTCGGTTCAAGATGCAATGGGTGTCTACGATCTGTTAAACACTGAGGGCTAAAGATAAAATTGGAAACGGTCAATTTTTAAAGATAAACAGATTCGTTGTTGTACGATCGTTTAACATGGATAACCAATCAGATCTTACCTGGATGTATCTGTATCCAGTCGACATCGGAAAGGAGTACAAGGGAATGCTGCAGGTAGGAAAACTGAAATAGTAGCCATAATTGCCTAAAAGTATAGATATTCAAAATTTTATAATTAACAACGTACTCGCAGTGTTTTGTAGTTAAAAATTGAGAATTTCATTTTTAGATCCCAAAACAAATCGATTCGAATTCTTTACCATTATAAGAACTGGTTCAGCGATTTTACATGCTGTCTTCCATCGTTTATTTTTTATACGTTTCATTACCGACGAACGATATCTTCGAATCTTGATACCAATAAAAAAAATTTAATATTAGTCAGTAATTATGGCGAATATCTGCTTAAGGTAAGATATTATCTTTAGAATTACCCAAATTCTTCTAATTATAAATATTGTTAATAAAAAATGTGAAAGAATGAGAAGGAAATATCTGAAATTTCTTACTTTAACATTTAAAAAAGTGAAGAAAGCACCCAGTATTCCTCCGATAATACCAAGTATAATGGATGGAATAAAAGCTACAAGGTTTATAGATATACCACGTTTCACCTGAAAATACAGCGGAAAGGTATTTATATGTAAGCATTTAATGATGTACTACGGTAACATTACTATAGTGGATGAAAAGAAGCTAAAATTTACCTGGAAAATAATATATTTGTCTTCTTTAAAGGCACCAAATTCACCAGCATACTTAAACCCATCAAAAGCCGAATTGAAGAGATCCTAAGTAATCAATCATAACGATTGATGATAAATATACTTTTATTTAGTTGCATTAACCGTATTCAGGATTGCAGAATTACTTACGGTAGTAGCAGTTGATACCATACAGCAAAAGAACGTCATCCAACTTTGCTTTATGCTCCAAAATGAAGCAACTTCTTCCATAGCAAAGAGTAGCCCACCTACAGGAGACCCAAATGCAGCAGAAACACCGGCTCCAACTCCAGCATTTATAAAATCACGTCTAATTATAACATAATATAGAGGATATTACATGGCATTATCCGATCTCACATACTACGTTCACTTTTACGGGATAGATGCGAAGTTCGGTAGATTCATAAAAACCCAATACTTGTTATTTTATTACCTGTCTTTCGGATTTCGAAATTTTTCAAGAATAGGTAATTTGATTTTAAACGTATCTGACTTCAACTGGCTCAGTCCAGCTCCCACAAGACCTCTGTGTAATGAAAATCAACAAGAAATTACTTTGACTTTAGTTATCAATCAATCAACTATCGATTGGTTACAATGTATTGATAGGTTCATGTCAAGTTATGGTTAAAAGGTTTTAACATACTTTATCAAAAATTCATGACTATCGCAAAGCTCATTAACTACCAAAAAAACTGTTAATTTTTTTCGGAGTCCATGCATTACTGAAGTAAATAGTAAAGGATGAGAATTTCTAATGAAAATACATGCGATCCTTCTATTACTAAACATGTATTGTAGTATCTTTGACAGCAATCATTACTGGTATTGCATATAATCACTATGAGTATAATAATTCATGGCAGTAAGTTTTCTATAACGCTGATCTAGAAAGCATACATCCTAGGTAGCACAATTTAAAATAAAAGTGTTTACACACTTAGTACTTACTAACCCTAAATGAATCATTGGCCCTTCTGGGCCGATCGGTAAGCCGGAACCCACTGCACAAACGCAAGACAAAAACTTTATTATCATAGTCTTGAAACTGAATACTTTTCGAATACGGCTTCCATTCAAGAAGCCAATAAGTTCCGGCATACCCGAGCCACCAGCCGATGGCCTAAAGAACTGCAACATTTGGAGAGTAATAATTAATCAACTCTTAATTAGAGCTGATGTAGATTACAAAATATGTAGCTCGAAACAATGCAAGGACGTTATTTACAGACAAGGAATAAAAGGAAACATTCTGACTGTATACAGAGTAAAAATAATATTGAGAATGGATAATTGATAGCAAACTTTGATTAGCAGCAAATAGGCATTTATTTCTTGCTATCGTATATGCTAAACATATTGCCACGGCTAGTATAGCATTCTAACAAGTACTAACCACTACTAGTGAGGCGGATACTAGAACAAATAGCATGCTATAACCGATAGTGAAGATCCAGGCAACACCAAAATTTCCTTCCTAAGAATTATAATAGAACACAATATTGAAATAAGTATAAATTTTCTTAATCCAACCAAAGAGTAAATTTAAGAATGTGCAGTATACAGTAATTGTATCGACTTATGTAATGAAATAGATAATTTACATAACTCGATGATACTCATATGTAAAGATTGCACATCAAAGTATTGATAGCCTAGAAATCTCGGTATAATTATTTTAGATCGCTAGAATAAAAACCGACATACCACGATCATTCTTCCAGCAACCGAGAACTTTGTTCTATTTAGTGGTACAAAGAAAGAAAAATTCAACACCCGCTTATCATATTATCAGGTCGTTCTATATTATATAGAAGCATTATTTGTAATGTTGTAGTACAGCATTTAATAAAATTAAAATTAGATTAAAAGTACTGTAACCGTAGTTTCCTCTGATCATAGCCCCACTAAGTGATTATTTATTTCTGAATATCCAGTAAACTACTATACGACAGACTGTCAGTAAATTGTTTTGGACTAGTGTCTTACTCCGATATTAGAAAATTAGATTAAAAACACTGTAACCGTAGTTTCCTCTAATTCTAGCCCCACTAAGTAATTATTTATTTCTGAATATCCAGTAAAACACGATACGGCAGACTGTCAATAAATTGTTTTTGGACTAGTTACTCTGATATTAGATCGATAAATTGATGTACAAATACTATACGGTAGACTATCGATAAATTGTTTATTATGTTAGTGGCTTACTCTGATATTAAATCGATAAATTGATGTAATAACCATCCAACAACACCAACGGCAAATCCAATCAGACCCATCATAAGCCATCGATCCCATTCTACCTGGACGGAAGCAGTTCGTAACCAATCCTGTATAGCATCATTATAACTGGTGACACTTTGCAATCTCATTATTGCTAGAAAATTTCACTTTTTCATTTTACACGTCTCTAAAATCTATGATCAATCTATACTAATTGAACATGATACTGTAGGGCGTGATGTCTATCGTACGATAACGGTCTATAATGCAGTGTTGAAAATCAACATTGAACTCCTGATAGACGAATAAATTAAACTATGCAGCATGTTATCGAGCTGTTTCAGCGGTTTGAAAAGCTAAAAAAGTGGTACTAATTATACATCGTAGATGTAGCAGCACCATTGCTAGGTAAGAATATTGGCTAAAAAGAAGCTGGATGAAAGTTAATTTGTGCGAGCGTCGGTAACCCACTCTATGCGCATATACTTTAATGGAGTACCGTAATTATCCCAATTTTAATTAACTTGTGTATTTTCTACTTCTAACGATGTATGGAAACTTTCATTTATATTTACATCAAGCTATTTCTTGACTTTGAATACATAAAGGTAGGCGATATTATTTATAAGTAGGCGGTACGTCTAAAGGTCTAAATCTTAACAACGTCTAGTGGAGCCCGGTCTCGAACCACGTTCATCAAGTCATACCTGGTAGCTATCGCTTTGCGGCGAAAGATAATCAAAACTTTCATATTCTGACAGCTTTTCTTGCTCTTTTTTCGTGTAAGAATGGCTGGTATAAGTACTTTCAAACTCTCTACCCGTTTGAAAAAAAGTCAATTCGGCGAAATCATCAGGTAATATTTCATCGTCTTCATCAGCATCTTCCACTTCAGCTGGAATGTAAGCGCGAAGCTTCTTTCTTCGTCTTAGTATCCTATTCATGCTAACAGCCAATAACTTGACCTGGAAATCAACTTTAAATAATATCTACTGCAATCGTCTAGATCTCAAGTTCTTTTTAGACACTAGAATCGATTCTATGATGAGAGAAAGGGAAGAGAATTGGAAATTATTCCATGCAAACCTTCTCTCCGCCTCGTTGGACAACGGGAGCCACCCACAACGACGACTGTCTGTCTGCCTGACCGAGTTCCTAGTGTCGATTAGTCTAGGTCCCCAAATATGTCAGCCGGTCTAATAGTAAATTAAGTTAATTATTTCGCAAGTTGATAATCAATATCGAACATACAGTCAATCAAGCATAGTCACCCCCTGCTGAGCTTTGATATCCTAGTCTATTCTCTATCGAATAAAGTACTGTATAGAACACTATACTCGAAACATAACAGTCGCTACTCTAATGCCCAATGGCCCAATGCCTATTCAAGTACAGACAACTGGACAGGCAGACGACAAACCAACTTTCCTCATTAAAATGGCCTCTGATTTATAGTTCGCTGAAGACTGGAAATTGGATAATCCTAAGGAATGTTCAAGTCCATCTCAGGTATTCCAAGGCTGCAACCATGTGTCTATTAAGATATTGCTGTTTGCTTTGTCTTACAATGAACGGCACCGACGGATTAGTTGCGTAGAAAGGATAAACATATACGTAGATGCAGGTGTTGCAATCAGTCCAAAAGACTGACTGGCCACCATTCCAATGGAAGGACTTTGTGCATTCCTTAGGATTGACAATAACACCCTCATCAGTATAGAGCAATAACTTTAATTTGGTTGAGTAATCGTGGATTTGATGTCAACATGAAACCCATAGCCAACATGATCGATCCATCACTCACTATTCGCTTACAAAGGTTATTAATAAAGGATACTGATTGAGTCCTACCTGTTATAGCTGCGTGTATTGAGCTCGATTAGGTTAGGTATTCTTAAAATGTAGCTTAACGTCTAATTCTCGCAGATATTATAACGTTAAGAAGGTATAAGTATTTGGTATTTTGAACAATAAATTGATTCTTACAAAATATTATAACGCTTGAGTTATTGAGTGAAGAACCTGGACAATAACATAGTAATAGTTATGAAGAGAGCTTCCCATTAAAACTGCTTGATTACCTTCGTAAAGACTAAAAATAATCATTATTCCAAGAGCAATCGTTGAGATGAAGATTTTATAAAAAAATTTTTGTAATTAAAAGAAATGAGACAATTAATACCGTTTATCATGTTGATTTATTATTGATTAACATTTCTATATTTTATTCAAATTCTTGATGAACTATAGGCAGTATCAACATTGCTCAACAGGTTCAGAATATTACCTACGTTGCCAACATTATCTATGATAGTGTATTAACATAACCTACAAATACTTTTCTGAGCAAACAAGAAGCTTATTAACCTGGTAGCCGCGATCACGATTGTAATTTTTCAGGGTTTTATGGAAAAATAGCTTTATAGATTACAATCCTATGGGTCTTATTCGTATCGATATTTATGAATTTCGCACTATATACTGTACTGTTAGGACTAAAAATAAGGTACTAAAGTTATATCCTCGTAAATCATAAGTGGTATCTAGTTGAGCTTAGATTTAAAAGTTCTAGCGTTGAGCAATACACGGAATCGCTGACTAGGTAGCACAATGCGAAATATCTGCTGCATATGCACTTTTCAAAACCATCATAAAATTATAACGAAGAACAAACATCCTATTGATAATAAAATTACTCCATCTAACTATATTTATTATGACACTTTCCTACTCCAATTATATCTCAATACACAGCTGATTGTACACTCAACGTACAGCAGATTCAGCTTTCTAAGCTGCAATAACCTTTGCATACCAATACTGGCCAACATTAGATATGCTGCATAGGATGGTAAATCTCACAAAGTCATCAAAAATTAAATTTAATACACGCACGAGTACAGCATGAAAGACTGTTCATGGGTATAACTTTTACAATTCGATGGATTTCAAATTGAATACTGGATAGATTAAAAAATATCAAATTTTCATTTGTATATATTTGCACGATAAAAGTATAATAATACTATCATGTAAATTCAGAAAAAATAAGGCAGTAATTTTAGAATCAAGTTTCGTCAAATTAAACTAATAGTACAAATTGACTCTATATATAAGAAAAATATCAAAATTGTTTGAGTTTCCATCTAATGACATGCACAATTATACACTACATATGGTTTTTTTGATCGACACATTACTACTACGGGTACAGTATATACAGTAGAAAGGCATTCTCTGCAAGATATGTTCAAATGGAAGCCAAGGATACCCAAACGCAATACATTAAGACTCTTACTAATCGTATACATCACTTAAGATGAATGGCGAAAATGGCTTTCATCATTCATTATAATAACAATAATTACTTGGATATCATTAAAGGGCATTTGGTAATCAGTTTGAAATTACAAAATAATTTATAGTTGGTAATTCCTATCCTGCACATTAGATTAGTGGCGTTCTAGTAAAGTGATGATCATCTCCAGGTCCGTAAAACTAATTCAATATAGAACCTACTCGTATTCACATGATCGAGTTTTTCAATCGACAGTATTTGTATATTTTATGTCCACTATAGCAGCTATATCACTAATCCTATATGATTTAAATCCAATGACGCAATTATTAACGTTAATGTCGTGTATTAAAGCAATATATCAATCACAAATTGGTTTGCAATAATACTTACTACCTTCGTATTACAGTGATTATACGTAACTATACATAAAGTAAAACGCTTTCCTTAAATAGGATATTTTTTCAACTGTTGCAATACAATTACGAGGGCAACATACTGTCAATTACCCTTCATTATCAGGTATGGGTGTATTACAATTTCCATGGTAAACATTAATTTTACCATCGCATTTGAAATAAAGATCGAAAACATCTTTATAGCCATGATCACGCCAGTACGTACATAACTGACGATTCCATGTACAAGGAAGAACGTAAAACATATCATTGTATTCCATATGAAGTAAGGTATATAAATCTTGATCACCAAGATGGCCACGAAAATGGTATTTCTTAGCTAAATTTTCCGGTAAATTTTCATCAAGAACTTGACCAAATAATTTGGATTTTCTCATACGTTCTAAATCTAACAATAAAACACCGCTATTAAAACCAGTTAATCCATGTGGAGGTGGATCTCCTACTCTAGTCTTGGGATTTTCATGCCTATACTGCCAAAAGACATGGCGGTAGACCGGTTGACTTTCACGACCAATCCCAATAATATTGTTCGGTTGAAATTCATGAAATAAGTTGAATAAATTTCGAATATCAGTCGTAAATTTTAAGTCAGAATCCATCATAACAACACGTTTAAATTGTGCTGGTAGAAATTTATGCATAGCAACCGATAGAAAGAAGATGGCATCATTATAATAACTTCCTTTGCTACTAAACATTGGTTGAAATTTCTCTACATAAGAATAGATCTTCTTCAATACGTCTTCCACAAAATGGGTAGTACTCTTGACGACACAAGATGGCCAATTCTTTTTAGCATTGTTAACTGCTTGATGTAATACCGATCGAGTGTCCTTATCCGTTACAAATAAGAAATGTAGTCTAGAAGTGGTGTGCTTAAAAACAGAATTGATTGTTTCCTCAAAGCGTACTGCTAAACGGCTACCAGGCGTAGCCCGAGTGAGAATCATCACGATATGTAGTTCTTCCTCCTGCTTGCAATTATTCCCCTCTGCACAGTATCCATTATTCGTGGTAGGTTTACTGACAAGATTTCTTCTTTCATCATCGCTTGCAATTCCATTGAATGTAAAGAGGAATAACACTATTAAAAGACGCCAAGACTGGGTGATAAAGATGTGATTCATTTTGGACTTGGATACAGTAAAATTGGAGATTGATTTCCAGCTTACTGTGCACTACTGGTGAGTACTTGCCCTGGTTCTACTTAAAATTAAAACAGGGATTTGTAAGCGATACAAATGCTATAGTCAAGTAGTTACAGTAAATCAATCCATACAGCACCAACGTACTAGAGTTACTATGGTACTAGAGGAACCGACCGCATAGTGCTTACTATGGACTATCTCAAAATGATACTGTCGTACTCGCCTAAGCGATGGCGGATTTCGAGCTTCTGCAGACATGCCAAATTGCCTATGCATCATTAATTCATTCATTAATTAATGCACACTGGCAAGGACTTGATACATGGAGTAGTTAATAGCCTAGTGCTTGCTAGTTTTTCATACAGAACTAACTCTAAGCCCGATTCTACCTGCACGAACGGCAGGCCTAAATTCATAATGGACTATCTCAAAATGATACTGTCGTACTCGCCTAAGCGATGGCAGATATCGAGCTTCTGCAGACATGCCAAATTGCTAATGCATCATTAATTCATTCATTAATTAATGCACACTGGCAAGGACTTGATACATTGAGTAGTCAATAGCCTAGTGCTTGCTAGTTTTTCATACAGAACTAACTCTAAGCCCGATTCTACCTGCACGAACAGCAGGCCTAAATTCATTCTGGACGTCGTTTGCAGAGGTTTGGACTGCATCAGATCAATTTTATTTTGAGCAGTTTGTACTTAAGACAGTTATCATCTCTTAGACCTAGCAATTGATGTCAAGGTAGAGAATGCATAGTAATGCATAGGTATCGAATAATATCACAAATCCCAGTAAAGGCATCAGACGACAACAGATTATATTAGATAATTTACAAATTACAAGTAGAGTGAATCACCAATCAATATATTCCACTTTCGACGCTGCTGTCAAGCGACTGTCCATGATTTTTTATCTTTATGCAACAATCTGTCTTATGGCATGAAATCTGTTAGCATTATCTTGGCTTCTCGAATCCATTACACGACGAATATCGCTATGGCCGGCAGAAAAAGTAAGAAAACCTTAAACAGAACCAGCCAAGACGAAAAACCTCCATCGTCGCTTTGCGATAATCAACGAGCAGTGAGTAGAACAATTATCATAATTTCGTATATGATCATCGGTAAATGCCTACCGCAAACAATAACTTGAGCCAATCGACAAGTCCTGTTGTAAACGTCATGATTTATACAGTAATTATTCTCTCATCTCATGAGATATTTCACTCAATCTCACACACTATCCGCTAGGATAATGCCGTCTTTAGGTCAAAGATTGGCGATGTTTTGATTACGATTAAGGCCAAACCGGGCTCAAAGGAAAACGCTGTTACAGGTACAGTAGGAGTGATTATAGTGGATAGGTTCTACAGTATTATAACCCCTTGTGGTATATTTCATAAGGCATTAAATCTCGGTAAAAATGATAGCTTATACCCTCTCATCATGATCATTTTTATCTTGGAAACCATAATGAAACCCAACTAGATCATGTCGTAGGTTAGATTATAAGATTGTACTCGTGAGTACATTGTCATTAGAGAGATTGAGGTAAATCAGTCCTTGGTAAAAGAACTGAATTGATGCAGTAAAGTCAAGATTAATAAGTAGTTAAAGTCTTGTCATATCATTTCGGAGACATTTTGCGTATTACAGAATCAGAAGCACATACTGATAGTCTATGCATGTTTATTTTGTTGATTGAACTAGAGATGCAATCCTACGTAAGTTCGTGAGAATACTAATCGAAAATGTTGTAAAATGGTTTACATTAACCACTGATTTTACTTACTTTTACTTTTGAATCAAGCACTGATATTAGCTAATGGAAAATGTGGCGGAATAATTTATACATACGTGTTACGTGGATATAACTACACATAGGCATGCTAACACTAAACACGGTAGACTGTTCTACTAGTAAGCATAGACCAGTATGATCGGTTTTCTGATATGATCAACATCAAAGACATGTAAAATACGAAAATGTTGCATCATAAATCTACTTTGTGTGCAGTTCATAGCATAGTAAATACGTATAAAGCACTAACGAGGATATAACAAGAATTATAAGTAATAATGATAACCCTGATACGTGTTGCGAATTATACAAGTATTTTACCACTAATACTCGAGGATTACTAATATTGTTTATTGAATAAACCCTTATCGTTTGCCGAAGTGATTTAGACTCTGTTAAATTCATGCTGTAGCATGTAGCTAATACAAAATAAATGCAATACGTATATCTTTGTTTGCAGATATTAGCTCCGATGGAATTGGGATCCAAATTGCAGCTCCAGCCAGAGAAGGAGAGGCAAATAGCGAATTGATCAAGTTTCTATCATCAGTATGCAATACAAAATTTTCAGTTATTTCATGATATATCAACAATCCAGTTATACTACTTTGATTTGAATTATAGTAGTAATTACTATACTGTATATGCACCCCATTCTCTGAAATAGAATCGTCCATCTCATGCAGTATACTGTGACTTTTTAAAATATTATTGTCTATATCGACATTGGATGGTATTAGCGCGTATATTTACCAAAACTTGATGTTATAATACATTATTGATTCCATTACTTGCAATTTCCATATATTATCTTTAACATCGCTGAACTTTAATTTTTATTTTTAGATCTTAAAAGTCAAGAAAAGCTCAATCTTGTTAGATAAAGTGAGTGAAATATCTTAATGCATATGCCGCTTCATGATTAATGAGTATTCGTAAACTAATAGCCAATTAGTCTTCTATTGGGTTATTATATTAGGATACTTAAATGCGAAATTTACTTTAATGCTAGGGCTCGAAGTCACGCCATAAAACTATCTGTGTCAACAAAAATGCAGACTTGACAGAAAAGCAAGTGCTAGAATTACTTCAAGAAACATTATCACAATAGATTTTGGCTCATAATTTAATCAATCGTTACCACAATATCAATATGGATAAAATAAAACTTTATAGAGCTGGGAATAAGATCAACACTGCACTAACTATTCAGACAGTTGGTAGATAATAACAATCAGCAGGAACGCCATTCGGTTAAAGTCCTAAGAAAATTGCTCATAATTATCCTTAGCTGGGAATAAAATCAACACTGCACTAACTATTCAGACACTTGACAGATAATAACAAGCAGCAAGAACACTATTAGGCTAAAACGCTGAGAAAATTGCTCATAATTATCCAGTTTAATTAATGATAATCCCCCAAAATATTCTACCCTTCTGTTTAGCCTTTAAGAATGGAACCTTGTCAGTAATCAAATCGCCGATACACGCCATAAAGGTGGTACGATCTATGGTAATTAGATCAGAAATCTTTCTCTACTATACTTGATATTTTGCTTTTAAATTTTTGTAAAATAAATTATATGTTGTCTATTTTAAGCTGTAATAGTATGTAAGTTATCACCACTTCCGAAATTGCAACTAAAGAAGAGACTAATTTTTGTATGTAGCCTGTGCACCATATAAAAAATTTTTTTTAATTATTTTTATGAATGGCAATATGATATTAAATTTATGTGTATATTAACTTAATCCAGAATATTGGATAAGGCTACCAAAATTGGGAAGTATATTAATTAATATTAGAGCCATGATTATACTTATACTATATTTATATTGTAATAAGCTAATCTGCTAACTACTATGTGTCTATACTATACATCTCTTCCATCGCATAAATTTCAGACTGTACATTAATTGAACCGAACACATTCGACCTGACCATCAGCATCGGGAATGACGTCAATATTATGACTACGACTATAAGATTATGCTCTATTTTGATTATATATCACATATCCCATATATCAATGCTAATAGGTTCATCTGGATGCAGCGATTCTGCCTTTTATCGTATCAATTTTATGTATTAGCTTACTCCAAGAGATTCAGTATGGCTATCAGAATCATGAACGATGGTCAAATTAAATTATCCATTTTTTAAAGTTAAATTATCAATTTGTTGTGACATTACGACCAGTACTAATAACTTAGTAATAAGAATTGATATTGATACCAAATCAAATCCATCTTCCGGAACTACCACAACTACTTTGCTAGGTATGATTATAGGCGTATGCTGTGTCCGTTGACCAGCCGATAGTCCTTCATCAATGGTGACTGAATATTCGCTTACTTAGTTATTAGAAAGTGATGAAGACACCAGTAACAATATGAGTCATCGCTTAAAATAAAAATATAAACAATGTACGTATGCCTATCATTAAATGCAGCTTATGCTCGGATCCTGTCGACGATTCGTCCATAGAATAGCGTAAACAGTAGCTAGCTAATCCTATAAATTAAGCCAGTATCAATCCAGCAACCCCTTAATAGGATAAATTAGCTTGAATCCTATCCAATACTGCAACATAAACGCCTATGAAGAGTAAACCAATTTGAACACCGTCTGCTCGTGTTTATTTAGTCTTAGTGACCCATTACAAGGTACAATTTAGCCGGTACTTTTCTCAATGTCTATCGGAAGTATCGACATTGAGAGCTACTATGAGTGACAGAGTAGAGTAACGCATAAAACAGACCTAATATCGCGATCGAATGGCTGCGATATCATGGAGAATAAGCAAAATATTGAAAAAGAAGCAACCTGCAAGCCGCCATGGCCGTTATCGTTTGAATCGTTGCCACATCGTCATGTAGCTTATATATAGCGTTGTAGGAGGGTTTTGCGTAGCTCGCCTACCGACAGACTGCCGTTTACGCACGCTCAATGGTGAGCATCGTGTTGCGCTTTTAGCTATAGTATTTGAGTAGAACTACGCAAGAGGGAGTACTGTTGTCATACAAAAGTCTCTTGCTATCATTTATGCGATTTCGTGGCTGAGTGGTTACCACCATACAAGCCACTCTGAACCCACCGATTTGACAGCAATACACCCGATAGTGCTCTACGTTCTCATACAGTATAGAGCAAAATCGATCAACTCTGCTACCCCACCCACCCCTTGGCCAAAGCTCTTAAAGCGATCCAGCGCCGCCGCGCTGGCTCATAGCGTTGCAAGAGTGTGGGCAAGAAAGCTGCTAGGTAATTCCTCTTCTCTTCTTCACTATTTCTATCTCTAAGGTAGGCTGATCAATTCATGTCTATTAGCTAAGAAATGCAATTCTACAGGTACTGTAAGGATGATATTTTCTCATGCAATAGTACTGTCATTGCGAGCAGGATATTTTCCGTTGATAACGGTTGTCAATGTTACGGTATTCGTCCGTTAAGAAATGATGGACGTAGTCGTATACAATTGCGCTTGAACTTTTTCTTTTGCTACGATCGATGATGGAGTTTATGGAATAAATTAGATAGCTAGGCAGTTAAGAAAGAGTCATTACTTTAAGATATATTAGCACTCCATGCTATCTGTACTTGTATAGCAGGATGATATTTTCCATACATATCTTGAGTCATGTTATAATATCGGTCCGATCATAGGATACGACATGGGGTCGAACTTGGCTTTTTTTTGCTTTTTGTCCATCATGGAGTTTGTAGAGAAAAAATGAATGAGTCAGGCATTCAGGAAAGAGCGATGACTTTAAAAAGAGAACATACGTAGATATGCATTCGTATTACATGCTTATACAACTAGAAATAATTGTCATACCTACTGTGAAACAGCTACTTCTGACCTCGGAAAGACACCTATGCAAGTTGGCTAGAATATCCATGTTACTTGTATTCAATGAGGAAGCGACTGTGCAGTAGAACGTAACTGTTCAATGGATCATGGCAACAAAACAACAAGATCATCAACTCCCTCAAAATAAACTCAATACATTCAATGTGCATGGGATCTGTAGATGATACATCACCGCTTTAAAATTGAAATAGATGATTTCTATCCTATTTACTATAAACACACGATGATTGAATTGCATGAGCTGATCTACTACGAGACGAGTGTTGTTGTGCTCAGGATTTCCGATCAAACACCCCAATAAATTGATTACTGTTACTACTCATCGACAAACTTGCTCATGGATTAATGTCTCTTTCTCTGACTTAATGGACTACTTCCTAGTTTGGTAGATCGATAAAATTTCCTATCGTATCGTTTTAACCATGTTCCACCTAATGAATGATTCGACCATTTATAATAATAATAATTATATACTCGTATTAAGGGAAAACTTTGTAATCCTTTCATTTCTTATTCCACAGGAAATTATTACTCTACGGCAGACCAAAACTTGTACATCAAAGGAGAGTATTGTCTGATACTACCATCAAACGATGGCTCATCGAAACAGTGATAATCCAAATGTCCAAATCCGAAATCGATCAGAAAGTACATCGCATCTTGCTGATCAAGGTACTGGATTTTTCCAGTGGGGCCGCGATCTAGGTGGTACCGATTCTAATCATAAATTTACCGAACATGAAAAAGACTTGCTTGCTCAATACCAAAGCGCCGATTACTTACCGCCATATAGCTGTGCTTATAAGGTTTGTCACTTTACAATGGATGTAAAGTAAGATCAACAAAGTAATCGATCTAATCTCCTCATCATATTAGTGATCAATCTACTTGAAGCAAATATCCAAACTACTTCTTCATGTACATGATTGTCACAAAGTAACATTAGCCCGTTGTGTGAAACTTGACAATTACAAGTGTTAGATCTGTTGTTTTTCTAAAATAGCTATTGGTATGATGAACGATACTGCTATAGTCCACAGTCTCATTCATTATCATTTGAAACGTAGTACTGAAATCGTAGTCATCAAAATGGCAATATCGCTCACTTTCCCTACTCTGTTGCTTCGTCGAGTGACCACAAACTAGGGCTAGCACATCGCGAGGTGGACTAGCACAAAATTAGTTAGGATTTATCAAGCGATAGCTTTCTACACTTTCTAGTCAATGTGGTATCATCAACCTTTTAATAAAAGTTTATAATTTCCATGAGACGATTAAAGCTTTATTGAAAACACAGTGCCCTATCCAGATTTTAAACTAATTTCTTCTTTTACCATTACTATAAAGTTATAGTGACTGATGAATTATTACTATTCCATGAAAGTTTTAAATTGTTAATTGTGCGATAATTTCCCTATGCTAATATTGTAACCAAAATACACCATTGAAGCTTTGAAGAATTTTCCCATCTTGGAAATCAATTATCTTTAGCTAATTAATTAGCGGCACATTATATTAATAACGGTCTCAAATATTGCTAATCAAAACAATACGTCTGATGTATTATACATTTAATTCAGTTATCATCCGTATTCATTCTGATTTAGTGGACTGTAATAAATAATGAATGAATATTTGAGTATTGAAATCAATTGCTTAACAAGGTTGTCTGGTACTGAATTTTTATTTTCAAACTTAATAATTCCTTATGGGTTTCTCACCAACAAGTAACTATAAATTTTCGTTATGAAAGGCAATCCATACTACACGTACAACCATACAGCGTGCTACTGTAGAGGAGTAGACATTGCGTTAAGCTACTGCCTAAGAAAGTTTTATAATAAATACCTTAGGCGAAACTGTCAACATAAAGTTAGCATTGGTAATAAAATTAAATTTGTTGGCTAGCTTCATTAAAAATATTAGTTGATTGCCTATTGACTCAAAAGATATGTCATTTGGTACGTACAGTATAAGCAATTGCTAGCGAACTGTGTGCTATTAAATATAATAAAATAATTAGCAGTCCATGCTCTGTGGCACTAATTAAACAGCATAAATGCCTATACATCTGCTAATCTGACTATTGCAATTACTCCGTTTTATGTGTGCAATCAAATCCAGCTAATCTAGCGTAATCAAAATATGAATAAATAGATAAATGGGTGTGTTTATTGATCAACGTGAGACATTTTACCATATGGTGCTGTGACATATATATTTATATTAAGATGTAAGCGTATCCATTCAGTAAATAAGATGACCGTTTGAACCCAAAATTGATAACAAGCCCTTGATGCTGCAAAAGTCAATCATTTTCCGATGCATTAAAGCAATTTAATTATTAAATCATAAATAGCTATCTAAATTTTTAAATTTTACCACACAATTAGAATTATCTAATTTTATTACTGCATATAGGAATGGCTACGTCAACAACCTGCAAGATTAGATTGGGATAAATGGCTAATGATGGGTATTATTGGTTTTGTTGTTGGTATTACAGGATTTCTAATGCATCAAACTATTGGAGTTATTGCAGAGTATGTATATTACTTATTTATTGACAGATACCTTTACCTCCTTCGGCAATAAACGATGGTAGCGTACCTTTTGTTATACCAGCAATTTACCGTAATATGGAAGAGTGTAATTGTAACGGAAATAAACCAGTTCAGTCAGCAGATATTTAGTATTTATTTAGAATGATATACGTATAAGTCATCAAAATTGTACTACTTTCCTATTGATCCAGGAGAGAAATGAATTCAACTGTCGCCATTTTTCATACTTCATATCCAATATTACTTGTGTACAGTTAATCAAAGATGTTCTTTCTTTTATCATATAGCTTGAAATGGGATCGCGCTTATGAGTACGTCAAGGTAAGCTATGACTCCTATCCTTACCTAATTTGAAGTATTAAAATATAATAATCTTGCAATTTTTACTGTTGCTGGTTCTGATTGTACCTATACGCATACCCTTTTATAGGAAAGAAATTTTGGAATGGCATGGGTCTGGCTTGCGTTGATTGGTATTGGATTCGCTATTATTTCCTCTTTATTGGTTGTTGTAAGTATCTAATAACTACAGTACTGTATCAATAGAAATACTGGTATACGCGTGTATCAAATTGCACAAATTCAGTCAATCAACTTGTTGCACCATTCAATTTCTACTGTTATTAAATAGCTAACAAAGTCTGTTGATACAATTTACAGCTATTTCACTTACCAGCTGGTGGATCAGGCATGCCCGAATTAATTGGGTTCTTAAATGGTACTCTTATTAGAAACGTCTTTGGCATAAAGACTGCAGTCATCAAGTTTCTATCTTGTGTATGTGCGGTTGGATCTGGTCTACCGGTTGGACCTGAAGGACCTATGATTCATTTAGGGTACTGAAGAGCTAATATCAATCGAGATTTGCTAAACTTAACTCACTGAGCGTATCCAATATAATAAATTTAATATTTTAATATAGGGCACTTATTGGAGGAGGCTTAAGCCAAGCCAAATCTTCAATCCTTAATTGTATTCTACCTATATTTGGAAGATTTCGTAATCCAGAAGATGAGTACGTCATCTATAGTTTTCTACAACTGTATTTGATAGTTTATTAATTGCGTCACAATATCAATATAATAATAGATCATCTGTATTCAATATTCAAAACTGACACAATTTATAGGCGTAATTTCATTAGTGCCGGAGCAGGAGCTGGAGTATCTGCAGCGTTTGGGGCTCCTGTTGGTGGATTACTATTCACTATGGAAGAAGTATCGTCTTTTTGGAGCTTAAAGCATGGCTGGATGACATTTTTCTGCTGCATGACATCGACATTTACAACAGTAAATAATTATTCCTTCAAATCAGTAAACCAATCGACTAAAATTGTATCCCAATGTTCTTATTTTAAAATTTAATCAATTACTACTCAGGATCTATTCAACTCAGCTTTTCAAGGTTTTCGATATACAGGCGATTTTGGTGCCTTTAAATCGAGAAAATACATCTTATTCGAAGTATTTATTCGCAATTACTATCAGTTGTATTGTAATTCTATTTGAGACGATTGTTTTAACATTTATAATTACTTATGAAACAGGTTAAAAAAGAAATTTCCTTAAACATCTTGGCTTTCATACCATCCTTAATTATTGGAATGATTGGAGGCCTATTAGGTGCACTCTTTACCTTTCTAAATTTAAAGGTAATTACATCACATTTAACGTAACAACTACAATATATCAATTTTTATTAGAATTTAGAATTTAAGTATTAACACCGTCAATTTTATTATCAAGATCGCTCGATCTCGCCGTCGCTTAGTTGGACGCTTTAAATCGACGTGGGTAAAAAACTTGATTCGAGTTTCCGAAGTTACATTAATCATGGTAAGTGTTATAATCTAAGTATGAAGTACAATGCCCTACACGGTACGCATTATAATCTAAAATCTACCATTATCTTGGTTGTCTAGACCCTTACTGCAACCATGTCCATTCTGTTACCCGGTGGCTTTGGTTGTACTCCATATCAATGTCAGAATGTTAACACTACTGCTAATGTCTACCAGGGACCACTATGCAGACGTGGAGACCAGTATAAAATTCATACCGAAAACGAAGTCGTTGGTTATACCTGTCCTGTTGGTATAACGAAGAACGTAAGCTCTCAAGTATATTTTACCAATCAAACCTATAATCAAGGTAAGTTGGATGTGTTAAGCCAAGTCTACCTGCATCCTACTACATCAGGACTTTTATTTTTTCATTAGTGGCCTCACTAGTATCAGTACAAGGAGAAGAGGCTATTCATCGTCTATTTTCCCGACAAACTTATCTACAATTTGATATTGGGTATTTATACCACCGATTTTATTAATACACTTCATTTGCAGCTGTGATTTCATATCATCTAACTATTCTTTTCATCTGACTAACGTTTTCAGCCCATTAGCAACAGTGTTAGTGCTGTATTTCACCTTAGCCTGCTGGACTGCCGGTAGCGCAGTGTCAAGTGGTCTTGTAGTGCCTATGCTGTAAGGAGCTAACTCGTACATTACTTATTTTACAGAAGTATTGACTCTAAATACCGTAAAGGATATAAGTAAAATTATGAGTAACCCTTTAATCAATTGGCACTAAATTTTCTGATTAAACTTTTAATAATAATTCTTTTACTATTTCTATCACTATCAGACCGTAACTATATTGATATCAAATAAATGTGTAATTATACATACTATAATAATAATTTTACGGATATAAATTACCTGCTTACAGACTTGTTGGAGCGTTATACGGTCGCCTTATTGGCAGATTATTGGTAGTTATGTTCGGTGTTCATCAAACAGGCAAGATTTTGAAATACTATCCATAAACTACGACGCAGGTAATAAACAATTTATCTGAAAACTAGTTCTTCATTCTGCAGGCTACTGGGCGTGGATGGATCCCGGTGCGTTCGCGTTAGTCGGCGCTGCGTCGTTCTTTGGAGGTGTATCGAGATTAACGATGGCTTTAGCTGTAATCATGGTACAAAATTTTTCCATTCTATAATATACCTTGAATTAAAAATTATCAATTTATCCTACGCATTGACTGCGAAGGAGACTAATGTAGCCCTTATAATGCTACTTTGCTCTTAATGCTTTAGATGGAAATTACCAACGATATTCAATTTCTATTGTTGGTCATGGTAGCAATATTAAGTGCAAAAGTATTGGGTGATTATATCACTCATCCGCTGTATCACGCTCTTCTTGAAATGAAATGTATTCCGTTTTTAGACAACGAATTATCCTTACACGATGAACACCATAACATGTTCGAATGAATTACGTTTGATGACGCATTTAGGATGATAATGCAATAAGTGCATCATTAATATTGGTCTATTTTTAAATATAATATTTAGACTAAACCTAGAATTTTATACTGCTGGCGATGTTATGACCAAAAAGCCTAAGGTACGTCTCCTAGATTAATTAGGAGTGCCGTAAATATTAATATACTGCATATATAGTTCTTACTATTTTCCGATAAATGGTACAAACTTACATCCTCATTGGCTACGATTAATAATAATACAGTGTGTATATGAGCGCGAATCCGTAGCAAAACTGGCAAGATTGCTCCAAGAAACTAAGCATGGCGGTTTTCCTGTCATTAGGAAAGACGCCGTTAGTGGCCGAGATGTATTTGTTGGAATGATGTCGAGGTAAATCAGGAGAATTCATTTTCTAGTCTTTTCTATTTTCTAATTAGAATTGTAATTTCACGATAGCATGTTGATAATCTGTTTACAGAGATGAGTTAGAGGTATTGTTGGCGGTTGGAGATTCCGTGTTTGAAGATCAATTTGGAAATAATGCTCACGAGATTGGCATTCTGCGTTATAATATGGTATTAATTATATTATCGATATATAATAAAATACTATAGCACCTCATCGAAACGTTGAAGTTAACATTCCATTCGGTATATATATATCTAGATGCATGAAGCGATTCTGCCAGTGAATTTTAATGAAACCCTGGCGAAATATGCTTCAGATGAAGCTTACCAACAATCTTATCTTAATCTTGTAAATACCTTATGATTATACTACTTTTTAAAACATAAAAGTTTCTTTGAAATATCGGACCACATTTCCAAACTTTTTGTATTGTTTTGGAATTGATTAAATCGAAAGTCTATACTACAATGGTTATTGATTATGCGTTTCTATACTTACATACCTAGATTCCGTATATCAACCGATCTGTTACCAGTATTCAGATGTCATTCTCTCTACGTAGAACTTATATTCTCTTCCGCACGATGGGAATGAGGTAACGTATTCTTAAGTAGTATAGATAGCATAATTTCGGATTGATTGTGACTCCGAATATACATATACTTGGTATACTCGTTTGTATGAAGAAAATAGCTATCGTATAACACTTTATTTTATTAATTTCTTAGGCATTTACCTATAGTCGATGAAGTTAACAGGTAAGCTAGCTAATTATCCAAATAGAATTTATGGCAGGACCCAATATTGCCTGACGATCAATAATTACTGAAACGTTTGTATTTACAGAGTTGTCGGTATTTTAACCCGTAAGGATCTAATGGGATTTAGTATTGAAGAGCATATCCATGGCGATGACTATGGTCATGACCATATGCGTACCCCAACTGGTAAAAGAAGCGGAGATTTGGAACTGAATGAATTTCATCGTCGCGCTTAAATTTATATCATGTATCTATAAAAATCTATGCGAAAGGCTATCGTAAATTTGCTCGCTACGAAGTATTATCCCTTTCCAATTTTAAATTTTAAATCGGACTTTGAACACACAGTGCTTACAATTATTTGAAGAAATAAGCGATACAATTTTTAATAAGGATGTTAAAGTTACACAGCCCATGATCAAAAAATACGTCAAAATCAGCTTTATATATATATATAACAATGCTACCAGTTTGACTTATCGTCCATGAATACATTGGGATTATCTATAAATTTTTTTTACTGTATGTTATCGTTGACTATGTATTTCTATCCTGCAACAAATGTAATACAAATTGCAGAATATTTTGCAAGTGTTTAACAGAGAGCTTGAACAGTAATTTTGGGAAAAATTATTGTATATCGCATTCTAGACAACATTTTTGAAGACCTGAACTAAATAATAGCATTTTTTATTTATTTATTTTATACTTGTAATGTACTAGCAGCATTTAAAATAAGTACGATACGGCTATAGTACTCTTTAATCCAACACAATTTCTTACTATTTGTATGCTATAAGGACCATGATTTGTTACCAATATTCTTTTAAATTCATCAACCTTACTAATGTATTTGCAAAGCTAGAATATGAGCGAATATTTTAATAGATACAATAAAATATGTTAGCGGTTATATTGAAACCTAAAAATTACAAGATTAGCATTTTATAGCTTTAGTCTTTGTTAACCCATAATTTTGTGTATTCACGATACTATACCATGTTATCCCATATTTAATGAAATCAGAAATTTGTATTAACGTATAAAGATCTATTTCAACCCACAAGAGCATAATTCTATAAAAGTGCTTCAATACTCTCATAAAGAAATTGGATTAAATCTGCATGAAATTAGTCAAAGCGGTTTTCAGATTAAATGATACTCTTATTTAATTCCAATTTCTCGAAAGACCTGTCAACTTTAGTTTCGCTTAAGTTATTTAGATTTACGAAGTGAGATCTGATTCTCTAGATGGTGATGCATGTCCTTGTATACAAATTGTCGCACTCAATATTAATATGAGGGTGTCAAAACCTTGTATATTCGCTAAAGTAGTAATACACCCTTACAGTTATCAATCAAGCCACTCTCTAAATCCAGATTTACATTTATAAATCAAGCTAATCCCTAAATTTTGAATCTATTTATCTTTACTGATCCTTATTATTAACGGTAGACAGTAAATAATCTTCAAACACCTGATATAAGTACCACAACGTCATTCTATTTCTATATATCAAGCACAAATAGCAATTTATCCTTACATTTACCAGTCAAACCACTCTCTAAATTAAAACTTTGACTAATGAAATACGTTAATTAACCCTTATTATTAACTGTATGCACTCAATTATTTTCTTAAATCTCTCAGCAAATATCAGAAAAATAATCGAATTTTTATAAAAAATTACGAGTATGGTCTTGCATGCTACGTTGTAAATAGCCTACTGCATCGGTTACATGCAGTATATCCCACTTTATTTATCATTTCATTACTTGACTAATTTTTTTAACGATAGTATGTATCAAGTATTTATTTATACCACAACTTTAAAGTACACAAAGGTTCCATCTATTTAAACTTAACAGAAATGTTCTACCACAGGAGAATCACATAATAACGGTATAGTAATTTGATTTTCAATTCAAATGGAGCTGAAAGATTGATATTTATTGGATGACAAAATGGAACAATATTTATGCGATATAAAGGTTAATGCTAGATTTATAATTGGATATATTATCTTTCAGTAATACAATTATATAAATAGCCCAGATTGGAACTTAATAAACAATAAGACTATAAACTTCTAAGCTTGATATTTAAATTGATATTTTATTTAAATCGCCCAAAGTAAGAAGGAATACATCTAAATAAAGTAGGTGGGGAAATCAACGGGCACAATAAATACGAGGATAATAAACTACTAATCTGGGCAGGCAAATTAACATTTATTTTACTAAATCAACCACTGGAAATAAAAGCCCTGAATAAACTAGAAACGTTGATATAGTAAAATAGACAAGAAAAATCTTAATAAATAACTAGGCTGTCATCAAGTATAATTCTAGTATCTCCATGGCCATTTTACTTAGTCCATCCAAAGATCATCTCGGAGGTAATAACTGCAGTATAGATTATTAAGCTGAAAATAAGAATTAGAAAGAGTTTAATGTACAGCAAGTCTCTAAGGTTACTAATCTTAACATATCTACTATCATGATTTTTCTACTGTAAAGGTAATTTCCGAAGCTATATGCTGAGTAAATGAGATAAAGTATGCGGGAGTAAAAAGATCTTAATAACATCAAGACTTGGCTGCTTATCTTAGCGATAAGTTTAGCCCATCTTTGTTCTTTCAAAGTCACTATTAGAATAAGTAAGTCTAGCAAAGTAGACTCATTGACTGGATAGAATAAGACCTCAATAAAGGACAAGATTACTGCCAAGTAATCTTAAAATCTAAATGAAACATGCTATCTATAACATATTCAAGGGCCATTTAAAAGTTGTACAAATCATCAAAATAGAAAAAAATTAAAAGAACTTAATACGCAGCAAGCATAGCAATAGAATAGTATTGTTAACGTTCAAATAAGTTTGATTTTAGTACTTCGCAGATAATCTTCGAAGCAACATACAGAGCAAATTAGGTCGAATAGGTAAGAGAATAAAGATGATGTTAATAATATCAAGACTTGGACTAGTTATCTCAGGTATCAATCTAGCCTACAGCTTGTTAGCTCAAAGCTAATATTAGAATAAATAGATGGAATAATTTAAAATTATTGATTAAATGAACATAAGGCTGTCTACAATTAATCAACAAGGTTCTTGCCAGGTAATTTTAGCATCTAAATTAGTATCTTATTGAATACCATTCTGGAACATATCAATTTAATATACGCGTATTTGATATGTATTTATTTAAACGTCTTTTCTGATATGAGCAGATGTATGGATCTGATATATATCTATTTCATATCTATTTCAAATAGATATACATATATATATTTGTTATACGTATGTTTGTATACATCTATTTATGACATCTTTCGATATCTTAATAAGTGACAAGATCGTCGCCAAGTAACCGTGACATCTAAATTAACTATTATAAATGCATTCGAAGGCTATCTTGGAAGCTTTATAGATCATCACGACGAAGAAATGATAAAAATGGCTTAATATACTGCGAGATTATTGATAGAATAGTATTCTTAACGTTTAAATTAACTTAATTTTAGGATTTTGCAAACAATCCTCCAAGTAATGAGCCGAGTAAAGTAAAGAAGTTGGAAGTAAAAAGGTCTTCATACCAGCCATACCTGGACTACTCACTCATGTTAGCTCTTAGCCTACTGTTAGTACAAAGCCAATATTAGAATTAATAGGCCGAGTAAAGTAGAAATATTGATTCGATAGGCAAAAAAATGATGTTGTTAAGTAATAAGATTGCTGTTAAGTAATTTTAATATCTAAATTTGCATGTTATTGGATACATTTATAAAGTTAATCTTAAAAGTAATCAAGATCATTAAGATAAAAGAGTGATAGAGCTTCATGTGGGGCAAATGCCGATAGATTTTTAATCTTAATATTTAAGTAAACATACTTTTGACTACTTTAAAGGTATCGTTAGAAGTAATACTATATAGAGTATGTAAGGGAGGAAAAGGAGCTTCAACATCATCATGATAGACTAATAATTTTAATATTGAATCAGTATACAGAGCAATCATCCTAAGCCTATAATAATCAGGAAAATCTTTATTAATAACGAGGCTGTTCTCCATTACCTTCTAGCATAAAAATTAGCGTGTCTTAGGAGTATTCTAAGGTAACCTAAGAGTGCAACAGATCAATTAGATCGAGTAGTAAACTAGATGAAAAGGAGAAGCTTTATAAACACAGTATAGAACCTCAAATAAACGAGAAAGAACTATATACTTTATAAAAAATAATCCACTTCATCATTCGCAAGGTTATAAACTACTAATCTTATTTTAGTCCGAACAGAAATTCAAAACTAAGACCCAATGTCGAAATGTAGAGTGTTTTGATATAAGCATAAAGCGAAATAAAGTCTTAATTATGTCTATTAAAATAGGACTGTAATAAAGGAAATCAATTTCTCATCTTAAATCAAGCCAGGAGAGAATGGTAGAGTATCATTTCAATCTTCATGTTCATTTTTGGCATAAATCAATAAAGGAACAATCAGACTTTAGACCGATATATCTGAAGATCAATAACGGCTAGAATATTTTAAATGCGATATAATATAATATAAGGCAGAGTGAGAGGGAGAGAAAATATTCTCTCCATGTATACAGACAATGAATCAGATGATATTCATGGAGCTTTTATTTGCTTAACCTAGCAGCTTAGCCTGCACAAGATATTATATCATGACCTTGGCTGTGTAAACTAACAACAGTCAACAAAACCACCCAACCCTCTTTCTCCTCCCCTTCCAGTTCCAGGTAATGCTTCATTTAGAGAAATGATAGCTATTATCCACCAATCCAAAGCCAATAGATTTAATAGTAGTAATTTATTAATCTTATTAATATTTAATAGGAGAAAAATAGGTTTCAGGAACAGTTTTTAATTGGTAGATAAAGCGTTGACATTAATTGAGCCAACAATAACGGGTAAATAACATGAAGGCTTCATCGTTCTTTGTTAAAATTATGACTAATTCACTACTTAAGTTATCCAAGATTGGATTATTATCGATATCCTACTGTTGATGGATAGAAGATTTACAATATTCAATTTATCATAGCAACACGCCCAAGCTATAGAATAATCATCATTAGTAGCAACTCTAATTCTGTTTAAAAGATTACCAATAGCTCGCTTTATCCTATGATTTCATTCGTAAAGAATCAATGTAAAAATGGAAGAGAAAAATGGTGAAAAAATGGTTGAAATTCGCCAAAGGCGAAAAGCTGGATTATCAATATTTGGAGGGAAAAGCCTAGAAGAGCAATTGCCAGTCATTAAAACTCGATTTTTCCAAATTGGACGTGATCTTGGAGGATCAAGCCATCATCATCAATATACTAAGAAAGAAAAAGAATTATTATCAAGATACAGTAGTGCTGATTATTTCCCACCTCATAGTCAAGTTTATAAGGTATCTGTAATGCAATTTATTTCACTTCCAAGCTATATTTGATATTGATTCTTCATTAAAATTATTGTCAAGATACAGTAGTCCTAATTATTTCCCCACGTATAGTCAAGCTTATAATGTATCTCCAATACAAACTATTCTATTTCCGAGTTATTCTTTTACATTGATCCTTGATCGAGAATATTTGTCAAGATCCAGTAGTACTGATTATTTCTCACCTTATAGTCAAGTTTATAAAGTATCTCTAATGCTAGTTATTTTATTTCCAACTCATTTTTTATACCGATTCTTGATCAAGAATTGTTGTCAAGATACAATGGTATTGATTACTCTCCACCTAAAAGTTAAGTTTATAAAGTGTCTCCAATTCAAATTTACATTGATCCTTGATCAAAAATTGTTGTCAAGATACAGTAACGCTTATTACAGTAACGATTATTTCCCACCTCATAGCCAAGTTTATCAAGTATCAGCGATACAAATTATTTTATTTCCAAGCCATTATTACATTGATTCTAGATCAAGAATTGTTGTCAAGATACAGTAGCGCTGACTATTTCCCACCATGTAGTCAAGTCTTTAAACTATCGGCAATGTAAATTGCTTTAATTCCAAGCCATTTTTACATTGATTCTCGATCAAGAATTGTTGTCAAGATACAGTAGCGCTGACTATTTCCTACTTCATAGTCAAGTTTATAAGGTATCTCCAATGCAAATTATTTATTTCCAAGCCACTTTTGACATTGATTCTTCATTCTTATTTTACTCAACTTTAAAATTAGTACTAGCGATTACATTCAAAAACGTTGTATTCAATGTATGAAGTAAATGGATCGTTTTTACTGTCATTGACATTGGAGAGTTTAAGCCCTGCGTATCTTTAGGCAAGAGTAATAAAAATGGTATTTCAACCTTCATTTTATACACTTCTATAAATAGCATTGGTTGCTCAAACATGCTCGCAACTTAGACTGGGATCGATGGCTAATGATGGGAATCATTGGGCTCTGTGTTGGTTTGGTTGGCTTCTTTATGCATCAATTTATTAAGCTGATTGCTGAGTAAGAAAATAGTAACGTCCATGACGATGATATTGTGTCTATAATTTGTCGACGATAGAATTGATAGGAATGCATAATCCAACATTTTTTCTCTTTCTCTCTTGCTCATCTTTCACTCCTTATCCCGTATGAATTAGAGCACGATGGGATGTTGCATACCTTCATGTTGCTGTAAGTAGATCTATACCTTTTATTATTATCCTCAATTAAAACTCTATTAAAACTTGTACAGTATATGAAAGCAACTATACTTACTAATTTTGCATTCCAACTTTCAATTTGCGATCATTTATTGATTTATAGTCCTGCTATCCACATTTTACTTTTTCTAGTCTGGTAATCATGCAACCGCTCTAGGTTGGATTGCACTTATCAGCATCCTGTTAGCGTTAACATCAGGAGCTCTAACAGTAGTAAGTGCTCATGAATATCCATTTAAAATGCAATCCAATTAACAACATCTTATTCTCTAACTTCTCTCTCATTCAATTGATGCTATTCTTAGCTTTTTTGTTTTCCGGCTGCTGGTTCCGGCTTGCCGGAATTAATTGGCTACTTAAATGGCACCATTATTCCGGAAATATTTGGATTGAAAACATTTTTTGTTAAATTTGCATCATGTGTATGTGCCGTAGGCTCTGGTCTACCTGTCGGTCCTGAAGGTCCAATGATTAGCTTAGGGTAAACTTTTTAGATTGCATTGAGATTTTAATTCCATTTTTATTCTTGACTTGCACACCTTTGATATTATCAAACGTGGATTGATACTCGTATAGTAAATTTTTGCCATCTAGTTGTCAATCGCTGCAGAAAAAAAGTGATTGATGATAATGAAATTCGATCGTTTCACTGTCAATCAGCAAGGAAAAGTTTTCTTGCTATAGCCAATTTTTATCATATTATGAATCCATCAAAGAAAAGTTGATGACAGTTGATTTTATCTTACCGTGAATATCTTAACCGAATAGTGATGATTCTCTCAATTTTACACGTAGAGGGCTAATCGGTTTAGGAGTTAGCCAAGGCAGATCGAAATTTTTCGGCCGCTTCTTACCGTTCGGACGATTTGAGAATCCTGAAGACAGGTACAACTCTTAATCTTGCCATTGACTAGAGCAACAGCTTTCGTTGAGTTGCTCATTTATAGGAGTTTAAACTCTTTAAGCTGTCTCTAATCAAATAAAAAGCATGTCTATAATATATAGCTAAATAAAATTACATCTTTAGCTATCATCATTATAAAAAATGCTCATACGTATCATAAATATATATTAGTATACTATAGAAGTCAATCCTACTATCATAGCAACGTAAAGGGAACTACAATAGCTTTCGCCATTCTATTTCAATCTGAATGTTGATAGAATTGAATTTGAAGCATTTCTTTACTAATTCTCAAAATCCAATAATTCCCTACACTGCTATAGAGTTACTCTATCGATATATTGTAAGAACTACAATATTCATGATAATTGACAATAATATCGATAGATAATTATTACCTCCATCTCTGGACTCAGAAATGAATAAATGTCTCATATTAAAATACAGTAGCGAAACAGCTATTATCATAAAACTTATAATTAATCATTATATCTTGTAGTCTATTAATTTTCTTGAAATATTACCCAATTCTAGGAGAAACTTTGTTAGTGCTGGAGCAGGTGCTGGTGTAGCAGCAGCTTTTGGTGCACCAGTTGGAGGTTTACTCTTTGCTATGGAAGAAGTCGCATCATTTTGGAGTATAAAACATGGCTGGATGACATTTTTCTGTTGCATGACCTCTACATTTATTACGGTATGCAATGAAAACTCTTCTATTCACATCTATATGAGTAAAAAGGAGCAGATATTATTCTCTAGCAGTTATATTATTTAATAATTTGTCAGTAGTCCCCTATTCAAATCTATACGGTCTTCATAATAAGGAGTAAATATTATTCTCTACTGGTTATATTATCGAATGATTTTGTCTATCCGATCATCTTCCTTTTACTTTTTGAAATCATGCTACTTAGGATCTTTTCAATTCAGCTTTTTCGGGTTTCCAATATAGCGGCGATTTTGGACAGTTTAAACCAAGGCGTTATATCTTATTTGAGGTTGAATTATTTAATAATATTATTGAGCGCTAACTATTATTAAGAAACCCCCATACCGATATTGATCGCTATCAATACAGTCCTATTAAAGAGTGAGAAAAGTATTTTAAACGAGTAATAAAATTTACTTAGGTAACACGAGAAATCCCAGTTAATATCTTAGCATTTTTACCGGCTATTATCATTGGCATTATTGGGGGTTTTCTTGGCGCATTATTTACCTTCCTTAATCTAAAGGTATTTTTAATTTTAAAGCACTAAACGCTCATTATCACCATTCAATGGAAGATGAGTCTCCAAAGAATCAATTTATTTTCTTTTGCTAGTTTGCTCGTGCTCGACTCTATGTCGTTAATCTTTTTAAAAGTACATGGGCTAAGAAATTGGTCCGAATTTTAGAACCGACAATTATCATGGTAAGTTGCTCTGTCTTTTGGTCTTTATAAATATAATGTAATTAGAAACAAATAATTGAGTTTGAATTAATTTTTGTCTATCTTCAAAATTAAAATTAGACCTAAAATAGCTATATACCAATGTTAGCTGAACAAAGTATTATCTCTATCTATATTTTCATATTCTATCATTAGACCATCATGGCGGTTATGTCGGTATATCTTCCATCAGCATTTCCCTGCACACCATTTCAATGCGTTTCTTCAGTCAGAAATAATTCTTACTTTGGCCCTCTTTGTGAAAGTGGTAGCCAATATAAAATTCGTACTGAAGACGAAGTTATACGCTATCAATGTCCAGAAGGAACAGTTATCAATATGTCTTCAACTAAAGTCTATAATAACAACAGTTATAATCAAGGTATTCAAGCTAAATATTTAAAGTGATCAAATGAGATATTCTAGGCAAATAGAGAGAGACACCATAATATAGTTAAGATATAGATAAAGCTCAAAATATACTCTACTACTATTTCATTAAACCATTTATCATGGAGAATTTTGGTTTGTAGTTATATCATATTCTGCATTACTACAGCTTTTCTTACTCACTTATACATCAATTTACTTTCCGAAACGATATCGACCATCAAATTTAGATCATATCTTGCGTTATTTTTATCCAACTTATACACCTATCCTAGTAGTATTTAAAATCATGATAGATATATTCAGTAAGTAGGCATAGTTTACAAGTAACTTTTATACATGCTTACAATAATTTTAGAAAACAGCAAGTAATTCCCAATAAACGATGTATTCAATGCAGTAGATATCTTAAGCTCAAGATAGGCTATATTGCTATCTTATTAAACAATTAATTATGAAAAATTTAAGTTTATTATCGTATCTTGTTCTATATTACTAGAGCTATTCTTGTTCACTTATACATATATGATTAATCATTATCAATCTATTTAATGACACTCATGATATACTGTATTTTACTTTCCTAAACAACATTGATCATCGAATTCAGATCATTTCTTGTGCTATTTTTATTCACTTACGCAACTACTATAATTATCAATCCATTCTAGTGGCAACATTAATTACACAACAAGGAGAAGAAGCAATCCATCGCCTCTTTTCTCGTCAGACTTACTACCAATTCGATTACGTGTAAGAATTTAAAAATGTATAAGTATACTCGTATACAATTAATTAAAAATAATATGTTAATGAACAAATCCACTACTTTTGCCAATTCACTAGGCCTTTGCTTGTTGTCTTGGGACCTTATTTCATTTTGGCTTGTTGGTCCGCTGGCACAGCTGTTGCATCTGGATTGGTCGTACCCATGCTGTAAGATTACTTACTTGAAATAAATCAATTTAGCCCCAATTTAATCTTAAATCCCTATTTCATTATCAAAATAATCGATTACTGTAGCTTGATTAATGAAATAAACAAGAAATAACGAATGCTAAAAAATCGTTTTCTATATGCTACTTTATAAAAAAATGAAGCACCGTAAACTCAATATGCTATACCACCTTGATTAATGATGATGATTTACGATTCCTATCTTGATATTCCTATACCTTTCAATAATTATAGGTTTATTGGTGCTTTATACGGCCGAATTATAGGATTATCTTTAGTATCTCTATTTGGTGTCCATCAATCAGGTAACGCGATAGAAACCCTCGCATTTTATATATGCCACAAATCCGGAAGGAAAGTTAATTTGTCTAGCATTCGTAATTTGCTCAATGCTCGTGAATACTATAAGATTCAAAATTCTTAATATTGATCAGTTATTTCTTATATTAGTTTGCACCTAGTCCTATACTTATTTGTTTTATTATCGTATCTTAAATTAACAATTCTTAATTATCATTGAAAGGATACTGGGCATGGATGGATCCTGGTGCGTTTGCTTTAGTCGGTGCTGCTTCCTTCTTCGGAGGCGTTTCTCGGTTAACAATGTCTCTAACTGTGATTATGGTATTGCTTGATATTACGAAATTAAATAACTAATATCGCCACGTTAAACTTTGTCCCAAGTATAGAAGCCGCAATTATAAGTAGAATTCTCACTTTAGAAATCAACATGAGTAAATTAGAACCGTTAGTTATATGTTCTATTTACAAGTATCGATCTCATAATTTCTTATTCTATTACACTATCAACTCCATTGAACTAGTATCATAAGATTCTCTAAACTCAATTTTCGTGCCTAATTCTCTTTTAAAACTATTGAATATGTATAGATGGAAATCACCAATGATGTCCAATTTTTATTAGTCATCATGACCAGTATCTTGGTCGCAAAGTTAATTGGAGATTACCTAACTCATTCGCTATATCATTCCTTACTGGAATTGAAGTGTATTCCATTCCTTGATCATTCTCCATCATCCTTAAACCATCATCAGTAGTAAGTTTATTACTAAAATCCTTAGACATTTTAGAATAGTTTGTTTAGAACTAATTGTATTTATTGATATGATGACTAGCCCGAATCATGAATTTTATACGATAGGCGATATCATGACCCGTGATCCACAGGTAACAAAGTGTTCAATTTATATACATATATGTATATTTATTGAGAATATCTGATTTTTTAAAATCCTTTAAAGTATCACTAGATAGAGTGATCTCCCATCAATCACTAGATTATAAAGATATTTAGCCAAAATGATGAAAGAGATTCATATCAAAGATGATTTTTATGCTATAATTATATAGTGTTTGCAAGAGAGAACGTCAGTTCGTGATCTAGCCAAATTATTAGTCAATAACGATCATCATGCTGGTTATCCAGTTGTGACAAAATCCAAAAGACATGATGAACAAATCTTTCTTGGATTAATTACGGAACAAGAGCTTTATGGCCTATTTTCAACTAGTAAAGATATTTTTATAGGACCCGATGATGATGGTTCCAAGACACCAACAGCTTCGTATGATGTAGTAAGTTAAATGACATTTACATGATCCTTTCTATCTACTATTCCATTTTCTATTAAGAACGTTGACTAAGACTAATTCCTTGATACCTAAATTATAGATTGAATTAAAGTTTCATAATTTCTTTAGCTTGAAGATGTAAAACATTAAATATTGAATATTAAACCAATCAACAATATCATTAATGATACCATTTTTTGCTTTTTGCAATTTCTCTGCAATATTAGTTGCGAGATGTGAAATACAGTGATGATTTAGCAATTGATATCAAAAGATACGCTAGCGAGGAAGAATACGATCAGAAATTTGTCGATTTAAGACCCTACATAAACAAATCCTCCTTTTCTATTCCCGTATCATTCTCTCTTCGCCGTTGTTATATTCTATTTCGAACGATGGGCTTAAGACATTTAGCAGTGGTCGACGAAGATAATCGGTAATGCTATAATGTTTGAAAGATGAACTATTCCTCGATATCTCCAGCATTTTAGTAGCATTTTAATTCTTTTAGATCTCGATTACTACAATCAGTTTATCTTGCACTGTTATAATATCTACGTTGACTTTAATGATAGAAGAAGGCTATGTAGAATTAGTCTTAAACTTTTTATTCGATTTTGTTTACGTTGTTACCCAATATACAATATCTATCCTAGATTAAGATGAGGTTAGCCTTTAAAAATCTTGCTGTCCTCAATCTGATCTACCTAGTATTGAATACAAAGCTGTTAATTTAATCTTTTAAGCACATAAATTGGCTATTGCACCCTTAATCATAGATATACTGTACTGTAGACTGAATTCATTATCATGATATCCACATCGACCCTATGGTAAATCCAATAAATTATTCAATACGATCTTATATAATTCTATTTACATTTACATTCATTCTCTTCTTAATTACTGTAGATGTGTTGGCATAGTTACTAGGAAAGATCTAATGGGATTTCATATAGATGAAAAAATTAGAGCTAAAGAAGAGCAAAAAGAAGAAGAAGAATTAACACCGATATCTACAGCAGCTTTTTAAATCAATTTTGTTACGCATTTTGTGTGACAATTTTCTTATCCAGAAACATTTAAATTACCCAATCGTCTTTAATTAACAACATGATATAATCGATGACTGAATGGCTGTTAATAACGATGTTTTATTACTTTAATTCTAGAATTAATTACGGTTGGTGTTAGCATAATAAATCAGCAGGGATATAGTTGATTTATTATGATTCCTTTGTTTGTGTGACGATCACTGTGACCATTATTTTGGTAATATTTTAGCTTTGCCTAACGAAATCAGTTTTTTTAATACTTCAGAAAGATGGATTTATGAGTAAAGCTTAATGCTTCGAAATTTGTATGATAAACACTTATTGAGCTAGTATAGTAGATGTATGCTTAAATATATAACTTTGTACAATTTTGAAATAAAATATTGTAGTTTTAACTTGCACTATTTATGGTAGCGATGAAGAACTCTTTTGCTTTCTTTCCCCTTTCACAAGGAATATTGCTACTATTTTATAGCATTGTGGCTTTAGCACCGTAGCTACTGTAGTACAAAACCTGTTGATATGATTGCACAGCAATTTAGCAGTTTACTTTCTGATTAATCCATGCTCATACGAGTGATTCGAGTAATTCATGAAATGAACTACTGAAATGAATTATTCATTGATTTATTAATGTAAGGCTGCAAAGTATTGATTTAACATAATAAAATAGAATACGTACGTGCTTACGTGTATTTACTAAGGTAGCTGTTTTTCCTTCATGAACAGCCACCAATAATGCTCATCATTTCGTGGAATTACTCATTACTCAGTTAATTTAAGGCTGCAAATGCTAATTTAGCGTAATAAAAATTTATAGAACGTTTAAATTTGCTTCTACTCGTACTTAGCTAGAGTAGCCTTTTCCTTCATGAACAGCCTCTTACGATGCTCATCATTTCATGAAATTACTCATTGCTTAGTTAATTTAAGGCATCAAATTTTGACTTGATTTATAGAGCACGTATGTCTGCTTATACTTACCAAAGTAGCAGTTTTCCCTTATGAACAGCCTCTAGCAACATTCATCATTTCATGAAATTTATTCATTTGCCTAATTAATTCATGGCTACAAAAGGGCTGAACTAATTATTTAATAGAGTAATAAAAGATCACAAAATACTGTACCGGGCCGTTGCTAAATGAAGGCCACACCAGAAAGCAGATTTTTGATAGTCTCTACTTGCTAACCAAGCTCATTATTTCATGAATAACTGGCGTAGATTAAGAATTTAATGAAAGAAATAGCGGCACCCCTAACAAGGCAAATATTTTTAGAGTTACTTGGCCATAGCATAACAGCGTGCAGGCGTGTACCGTAGCAGTAGTACTACAAAATCCCCACTGTTAAGAGTGGAACCCTATCGCTATTTTCACTTATGTAATCTTCAAGGTACTCTTATGATAGTGGCTATAATATCTACGTATGGTTTTATTTCTCTACACAGTACAGTAAGACAATATTCAATCTTATCATCTACAATTAAAATAATCAATTGCCACTACTACTTGGAGATCATCAAAAGAAAGAGGAAGTAAAGCTACCAGTCAAAATTCGATACAAATTTGCTGATTATCTCTGAAATTACTTAAACCACATCATCAATTTCTTAAATTCATTTTCTTGTTATTAAGTTATTGAATAGACTGGAAATAAAATCTCTCTCGAGCTAAAGACTTTGGAAAGTATTGCCTGAGCGGTGCTTAATTCGTGGCAACGAAAATCAAAAGCGATATTATTAGAGCAAGTGCCAAAATTGATTGCTCTCAATATGGATAAATCAAAAGAAAAAGGAGGAAATCTGACTTGTATACTCCAATTTCATCTACATTGATCCATTGGAAAATTGCGCGATATTGTGGGTAACAAAATATCGCGTCCATAGTCAAGTTTTCAGTGAAAAATCAAGACATTTAATTTTAGCTGTCTCTCTCTCTGTCTATCCACGCTCTTAAACGATTCATATGCTAGCCTTAATTCGGTTATTCTATAGAGCTTTCTCTTCGTAACACGATCATAAACAGTTGTATGACATTAAGAGTACAGTATGGCACACTCTACTGTCCTATCGAAGAGAGTGCTATAATGCCAATACGGTAGCCTATTGGCCATAGAAATCCTTGCTATATCAAGAGCGACTTAGTCTTTGGGCTAAATTAGTTTTCAATTGGCTGGCCAAATTGCACATCTTCTCATTCAACAGTCCAATTATTCATCTAAATCACTCTTTCTTGATCTATTTGAGCTATTAAAGTCTTCATGATCAACTGAAAGGTAACACATTATCAACATGCTCGTTACAAATGTAAATCTTATTGCTTTTCAACACCATTTGTGGAAGATTTATCCCACATCTGTTGCGATCTCTTGAACTCACTTCTAATAGAATTAATCAATTAGAAGTAGAAATTGAACTTATATCAATAAACATCCGAGTACATATATGCAAGTATTGAGTAGAAGCTCTATTTCAGTAGATTGAATATTAACGTAACGTATTAGTAATCATGAGCTACTCAGAGACTTCTACAAGTTCTATTCATCTAGGAGTCTATGACTCAATCACAGAGATGGGAGTGGTGCATAACCACATCGAGATAGTAAATCATCATTGCTGCTAGAAAATCTCATATGAACACTCGCTTATATGTACCCAGAAATTAGAAAGGCGAGAATCTTTAAATCTCAACCCTTGTATGGACCTAATGATACTTTACCTAGTAGTGCTTGAATTTTGCTAGCTAAGCATTAATGTCCCTTATGCAGTAAAGCGCCATTGCCACTTTTATTAGTATACGCGTATATTTAATACGCAATGCAATACAACTATTAGCTACTCATTGCTTGAATCTTGCTAGCTAAGCTTTAATATGATTATGCAGCAAAAGCGTCATTTGCCACGTATTAATTTACTAATTACCTAATATAATACAACTATTAGCTACTCTGAGACTTCTACAAGTTTTATTGCAGCTCAGGATGGATAGCCGATAATCATTACTGATTCTATTTCATCTATTCCTATATCGCTCGTAATCATTTCGCTATCTGGTGCTCAATCAAACGCAGTCGATACTATGGCTTTGAAAGGCATTCGAATTATAGAAATGGCCGGTTTAGCACCTGCACCTTTCTGTGGTATGCTTCTTGCAGATTTTGGTGCCTCCGTCGTTCGAGTGGACAGAACTGGCATCGATCCAAACGGTGATTGCTTAGCTCGTGGTAAACGTTCAATTAGCGTCAATTTAAAAACTAAACAAGGTGCCAGTATTATTAAGAGACTGTGCAGTAATGCCGATGTATTATTGGATCCTTTTCGAGCTGGTGCCATGGAGAAGCTAGGATTGGGACCTCGAACTATGCTAGATTTAAATCCAAGATTAATATATGCTAGGTTAACTGGCTATGGCCAGACGGGTAAATGGAATAGAGCAGCTGGACATGATATCAACTATCTCGCTATGTCTGGAGTATTATCCTTTCTTGGAAGATATAAGCAAAAACCAACGCCCCCGATCAATTTAGCTGCTGATTTTGCTGGCGGTGGTATTACTTGCGCTTACGGCATTTTATTGGCATTACTAGAAAGGCATAACACGGGTAAAGGCCAAGTTATTGATTCTGCAATGGTAAGGCATAATGCTTTATCACTACTATACAAGATTTCAATGTTTCTTATGCCATTTATAGCCATCGATACGAATTGATGTCGTATTACAAGGAATAAGCACTCAAATGCCAATGGATACGGTCAATTTCGTATCCGTATAACGTTATCCCCCCCCCAAAAAATAATGGCATTACACTGTTAGAGATAGATGCTCATACTGTACACTAAAATTGATCAATTTTATTAGAAAATTACTTAATATTAGGTGATACGATTGTAGATAATATACCTACGTAGAAAGCAAAACTAGGTAATTGGTAAGTTGTTTTTCAGATCTTTCTACAGTAAACGATCCTCTTCTTAATTAGGTTGACGGAGCAGCGTATGCCAGTACTTTCCTATTTGCATCCAAAGCAAGTCCGATATACGGCAGAAGTCTATGGGGTGAAGAACGTGGCAAAAATTTTCTAGACTCTGGCGCTCCATTTTATGATTGTTACGAAACATCAGATGGAAAATTTATGTCTGTAGGTGCGCTAGAGCCTAATTTTTATTCCCAATTACTCCAAGGTATGCAATATACATTTCTTGCTAGCGTCAATCTTATTTAAGCGCCTAACAGATAAACAGATAAAACTAAACTAGTGGTCTATGATATCAAATTATTCCAAACTTTCCTAATCACAAGTGCTGATATTCGTAATTGCATTGGGTACAGGACTAGATCTAGATATAGATAGCCAACCTCCTCAAAATGATCGTAAGTATTGGCCGGAAATGAAGGAAAAATTTACAAAAATATTTGGTAGTCGAACTAGAGATGAATGGTGTAACATCTTTCAGAACCTCGATGCCTGCGTAGCTCCAGTACTGGAAGATAACGAAGTTGGTAATTGGAGTATTAACAGTGAACGAAAAGTGTTTTTCACCAATTCTGATGGTAAGCAGATGCCTTCACCTGCGCCGCGTATGCATGGTAAAAGCAATCTACCTGAGCATACAAAGCAAGAACTTGTATGTGGCCTGCATACTAAAGAGATTTTATTAGAGAATGGCTTCGAATCAAAGGAAATCGAAGATTTGCTGCAAAATGACGTTGTCAGTCAGACTACAGTAAAATCGAGCTTGTAACCAACTACAGTGACACACAGTAATTGAATTACTGTTCGATGTATGGCTTTTTAATATTTAGCATGGATTGTACTGCAGAGAAGCATACATAATCTACGATGCCTGCTTAGAACATTAATTAGTAACACTGTTAGTATGATAATAATTTCATACAGGCTAGATTATGTTACTCTGATTGTATCTACAGTGATACGTATACTTGAAACTGTTGTTATTAACTTACGATGGAAAAAAAGACTTATTATATTACTTGCCTACTTGAATATAGGACACCAGATTGTTTATTATTATTAATACAAACTTCGAAATTAATTTGTAATAAATCGAAACCCTAGTTATCATAATAAATTAGGCTGCTATCTAGTGCTAAAATTTCAATTCAATGTTATAGAAAATTGAGAAGTAGCTTGATTACCTTGTCTGTATGCCCAAACTTATTGTGCTGTAGTCAATCGTTGTTACATTTAGACTTCTAAGGATTTTCTGTCTCAAACCAGTTGTGCACGTATCAAAATTTAGCCCTAAGAATTACCTTATTTAACCATTCAATTTTTGGAATTACACTGTTTCGAAATAGAGCACGCATGACTTAAAACGGCATTAACAAGAAAACTTGTAAGAGATTTACAATTCTTCTTTAGCGTGAGCTTAGAAACGTTTTGGTATTACAATTTAATGATACTTCCGCCTTTTAATCTAATAAAAGTACTCGCAATGCATCTAATATATGCAAACTCCTTGGCTATCTAGTACAATATGCCATGTTTTCATTACTTGATCGGTCTTAACATTAATGTCGCTCCAGCTTATACGCGTAATTAAGGAAACCGTGCTAGACCGTAACCAAACTTATATCGTATAGTTGCAACTATCTCAACCCTTAAGATTAGTCAGTCGAAGCCCAATATAGTATAAATGTGCATTTTCAAGATGGTTACTGATTGAATAAGAATACAGTCAGGGAATGGATTCAAAGATTAAGTAATTTTGCACGTCGGTAAAAAATCGTTCTCAGATCTCTAAAACCATCATTGACCACTATCATCTAAGTAAGTCAAAATCCAGGTAGAAAGATATTTTAAAATCAAGGTTAAATTTGTTCACATTGCATTCTATTCGAGAATTTATTCTAAAGATTGGTGCAATCTATGTTACATACCAGTATTGAAATTACAGTAATTAGATAACGGTGCTTATTCAATATTTCAATTTTGTTTGCTATAAGAAATGACACGACCTCGTATTTCAACTCTTTTACTCTCTCCTAGAAAATCGAGTCGTCTTCTAGTTACAGTAAGTATATGTAGATTCTTGTCGTTATACATAAATACCAAATGCTATAAGCCAAAAAATATCCAATTTCAATTTTTTTTTATGTAATATTAATTAATTCTTTATTTTTTTACTGTATATTAATCTAATATTTTCGAGAACAAATATATTCAGTTTAAATACCGCTATACCGTTATTAAGGCAATACTCGTATTACTTATTGCGTCATTTTGATTTCAATTTGATACAATGACGCTGCTGTCTCTGTTATATGAGAATTTTTAATTCTCAGAGATAAATTCAATAAACATTTAAAAGAAATTGTTAATATTTTCTATATAAGATAATTTTCAATATTAAGTTACTAACATTATATTATATACAGTAATGAACAAGAGAATTAATTAATCAGTTCATTGATTGCAAGTAGAATAAGTAATAATATTTATGACGAATTGAGGATCCATGATTTATTTTCTTTTACTAGCAATTGAGTGCCTAACCGAGATTGTGCAAATCTATCAGCTCGTACTATAGATTTTAGACATGTACAGCATAACTCTATGTTGCAGGATGTTTACAAATTCTATATACATATGTGCATCAATAACTTCTTAAATATCGTTATTCATTAAACAGCTATTATCCTTGCTAGTTTACCTATCGTACTGATGCAATATTAATCAATTTTACGTTGTATCAATAATTTGATCATCCATAAGCTGCACGTATTTCGTCCTAGCTGAACGATGAAATGAAATCATTAGTTCAGCATCATTAACACCATGTTCAGCCATCGTATGATAAAGCTCATAGGAAGTATAATTTCGATACCGAGCATTGTTAGTATCGATATGGAAATTATCGTTATGTGTAGGCTCGACATGAGTGACATTAGCTAATAAACCAATGTAGACATCATCAAGGCCGGGTATTTTTTGCACATAAGGTATAGCCCAGATTAGTCGATCGGCAGTCTGACCAGTCATAAAATAACCAAAGCCGGAACAATATGGTGCGAACTTATCCATTGGATAATTATCATAAGAAATGTAGTATTTACTACTTTTATCGCGTATCGGGATACGATTCATTGTTGAAACGAATCCAATCCAACAATGACTTGGATTAACTGTAGGCCTAAGACTTAGTGTTACTAAATAATCAAATAGACGCCATTTATTAATCCAGACATCATCATCGCCCTTGTAATAAAATTGTGTCTGGCAGTAGCGGCGCGCCCAATACATGCCTAGTATTGTCTTCTCAGTTAAGACATGATGATGTTCGATTAAATCAGTAATTACTAAATCGCCAAATAGTCGAGCTTCTTCATCTACACGTCGATCTATTTTAATATTACCAGTACGTCCAACAATAAAGATTAATCTCCATAAATTAGCAATACGAATTCGTTGTTGAAATTCGGATGTATTGCCCCATGTCTGACGAATTCCGAAACGCTGATCGAAATGGCGCGCTGCGCTATTAATTGCAAACACTACAAATGCTGGTTGATTACAACGTCGAGGAGCAAGCTTTTGATTGTATTTAACGATATACTGATCGCCAATAGCATGGAATTCCGCTGTTGATGGATTAAATTCACTTCTATTATATTCTAAATGGGGTTGGGGTGACGGTGATGTTCCATCTGAAGAACTAGCTTGCATATCTATTCTCTCTTTTATATCGCTAGAAGACGAACATCTACCATCGTTACATTGTAATAGTTTGTACTTTAAAAATTGTTGGTATTCTTGCGAGAAAAAATACCATGTTAAAATGAATAATAGTAATATAATGATAACAGCTAATTTTCGATTTCGAGGTGAATAAAAAACGAAAAGTAGATGAATTTTTCCCGGCAATTTCTCTTGATTAGGCTTAGGCATAAGAGTCAATACCGATTCCATAGCTACTTTACAGAAGTAAAGATAGAAATAGCAAAATTGATCGATGACTAGATTATAAACGACCAGATCTTATGGTGTTGTCTGTATTTGATATTCGGGCTAATATAGAAATAGCTTTCATTAGCTTTATAGCGTCTATTTATGTCTTATTCAAATAGACTTTATTTATACGAAAAGTAATATACTGTTAGGCCATTTAGATCCGCAGGGCACGAGATGTGTATATAAAAATTTTAACAACGACAGGTGTGATGGCATAAACTGGCCAACCGGTTTATATGCAACATATGCCATCGGTTTACCGTTAGGTCTATAGAGAAAAAACTTATTATTCTTCTATATGCTTGTAAAATTAAACACAATCCTGTCTAGAAATAATAAAACAACATTTAACTTTCTCTCTCAATGACTTTAAATACTGATATTAATTTGCTAGAAATGATTCTTTCCGACAGAAATCTTCGAAGGAATTACTCGGTATAATCTATAACTCTATCAATAAGCTAAAATGAGAAGTCTTTAATAAAATAATACTACAAAATAATTTATTCTTCTTCGGCTATTCCATTTAACCATTTGAAAAAAACAAAATCGGCACGTTACCAAAGTTACGCATAAACACTAAATACTAATGTAAGGCATTATACGCATAAGCGTTACGACATGCTTAGCTGATATTGTGGCAAATTTAAAAATTTTGAAAGATCACCCAAATAACTGTATATAACGTTCCCAACATAGTTATTTATGCACCTAACGTGTAAACAAGCTGGAATCATTTTACTTAGTGCCTGTATGCGCAAAGAGCATCAATTTACGGTATTCTACATTTTAACAGGTCATGAAGCCTTAATAATCTAGTCGAACTGTTGAATACGCTGTCTGCCATACCATTTATAGTTATATAGATCATATTGTAATGATCATGCACTACTTTAAAATACATTAGAGCACGCAGATAGCACGAGGCAGTCATAATCAGAACACGATCTGACCTTTGAGGTCTATTATAAGTTAGTTATTTAATTAATTTACTTTCCCTTTACTGGAAAATGAATTAGTTTTACAATTTATAACGTACCGACAAGCTATCGACTGTACTACGATCAAAATAATGTATTTATACTTAACGGTGATCTTTAACGCAATGATATTGGTTTACTCTACTAACATCTTTTTATCTATCTTAATTCAAATATACTAAGATTTTTCGTGATTGTGAAAATAGAATAAATAGAAATGTACACTAGCCAATTTTATAAATGTAACTTATTGGTAACAGTCGTATTCAGTTATTAGAATTGATATAATATACCTGAGGCAGTCGCAGCTATTTTAAGAAAGAAATTATGCGATAAACGAAGTAATGATGATAACACAAGCTGGAGTAACCTACAATTGTCCAGACATCCATTGTAAAATGGCTGTTTTGGGCATTTCACTAAATCTATTCCTTTTTCGTGGTATGATGACAAGTACCTTTCGTTTTCATGTGTATCCTTTGACACGATTTTACTGTGCATGGATAGAAAAGTGTGCTTCGAAAAATTTACCATGAAATCAAGTTCTTTTAAGCTATTTTTTGACTCTGAGTTACAGTTGTTTTGAATGATTCTTGAGTGCTACCTTTTCTATCGTAATAAATAACCTATTACAATGTTTATAAAATGGCAATGTTGTAAAAGAATGACTATTATTGAATAACATTGGAAACATTGCGTATAGTTTTATACCTCTAGAAAATAATTCTTATGCCTACTAATTCAGCATAGATTGTTCTATAGTAGCAGATTTTCGTCTGTTAAGTACAGTTATGTAGTTTACTCTTTGAAATGAAATTATATGCTAAACATGAATAGCTAGAATTGCTAAACTAAAGATGGAAAAATTTATTACATATGGAATAAATGATAGCAAGAAACAGAATGTTACGTCGCTCCATTTTTCTTGGGGTTATACAATAACATTATTATCAGATTAGACACGAAATTTTAGGCCATTTATTTTATGTTTTTATGATTACAAACGGATACTGAAATTACTTGGCAATAGATCGCAAGTGTTGCGATATACATAGCATGTAAGAATATTGCTGGAGTTTAGTAGAATTATTCTACTGTGTACGGCAGTTTTAGACAGTTTAATATCCAAAATAGGGGTGGCCCGATGTAAAAATCCATCACACTTTCTCGCCATCCTTTGTGTATTAGTAGAATAATCCTACTGTATATGGTAGTTTTAGACGATTTAATATCTAAAATAGGAGTACATTGGTTTAAAAAATCTGTCATATCTTCTCGTCATCCGTTGTATTTGAATGCAAAAGTGCTGTTGAAATTTATAATGTCTGTATAATTTTCAATTTTAATGACCGCAAACTCTTATTTTTTCCTTTCATCCGTGATCGATTTGTATTTTACACTCGTTAGATATTACGTGCGTCTTACGATTTAACGTCATTCGTCAATAACTTGGTACCTAAGAATCATGTAGCCTTATAATATCCTTTCAATGATTCAGCTAAGGACAATTGGAATCCATTTTCATAGTAGGTTATCATGTTTTTCTGCTTAAATTGACTTGGGTAGTTCTTCATCAACCTGCTATAAATCTTAATTTTAATGGGCAATGTAAATACTTCTAAAGCTAAACTTCTATCGCTAAAAATTTGCTCTATGCAGTAATTTTGGAGCAATGTTATAACCGTCAAGATAAGAAAAATCATCTGTACATTTCGATTTATAATTACACTGATTAACATTGACTTCCAACTTTATTGATTTAACAAACACTCATCCATTTACAGTAACAGTATATAATGAATCAAGTCAAGTCAACAGCTAGCTCTCTATGTAATATAACATTTATATCTGATTTCAAAACTACTTCGAAGATGGAATAGATACATTTTAGGGTGGTGATTGAATATCAGCTAGAACTGTAAACCTTGAATTCGTAAAGTGCACAACATAGTGTTTCAATAAAGTTTTAGCAATTGTACTCTGTAGTACTACTAGGTCATGCTATTCATTATGCGTGAAGTACAAAAAATCTTATTAAAAAAACATTAAAAGCTAGAAAACGGCGTATGGCACAAAGGGTGCAACTATCTAACAAAATTATAAGAAAGAATGACGAACTATATAAATGATAAAACTATATCGATAGTGTTAAAATGGTTGTATCCTTTTATAACAACTGAAAAATGCTGTGTCATTCAAAAGCCGAAGATTGTGTCCGTGTATCTGTGGAGAAGCCAGGAAGAATAAAATAAACCCTGCCGATGAAAAAAAGTCGATCATGCATTTTGGAGCATACAGTGTATTACTTACGTAATTTCCATCATAGAGGTAAAGAAAATTTCTTATCTCTACGGGTTTTCATACATTAAATTTAAATATCGTTAACATGGAAATATTCTTTATTACCGTCATTTTAATTCCAATGTTGAAATGTTGACGATGCTGTCTATATTTTGTGAAAATTTTTAATTCGTAAAGATAAAATTTCGATAAGCTTGTAAAAAATTTGTTTATATATTGTATATTAAACCATTCCAAAAATTAATATACCAATATTATATCACATACAGTAATGAACAAGAGAATTAATTAATCAGTTCATTGATTGCAAGTAGAATAAGTAATAATATTTATGACGAATTGAGGATCCATGATTTATTTTCTTTTACTAGCAATTGAGTGCCTAACCGAGATTGTGCAAATCTATCAGCTCGTACTATAGATTTTAGACATGTACAGCATATTCTATATGCTACCGGATATTTGCGAATTCTATATACATATGTGCATCAATAACTTCTTAATTATCGTTATTCATTAAACAGCTATTATCCTTGCTAGTTTACCTGTCGTACTGATGTAATATTAATCAATTTTACGTTGTATCAATAATTTGATCATCCATAAGCTGCACATATTTCGTCCTAGCTGAACGATGAAATGAAATCATTAGTTCAGCATCATTAACACCATGTTCAGCCATCGTATGATAAAGCTCATAGGAAGTATAATTTCGATACCGAGCATTGTTAGTATAGATATGGAAATCATCGTTATGTGTAGGCTCGACATGAGTGACATTAGCTAATAAACCAATGTAGACATCATCAAGGCCGGGTATTTTTTGCACATAAGGTATAGCCCAGATTAGTCGATCGGCAGTCTGACCAGTCATAAAATAACCAAAGCCGGAACAATATGGTGCGAACTTATCCATTGGATAATTATCATAAGAAATGTAGTATTTACTACTTTTATCGCGTATCGGGATACGATTCATTGTTGAAACGAATCCAATCCAACAATGACTTGGATTAACTGTAGGTCTAAGACTTAGTGTTACTAAATAATCAAATAGACGCCATTTATTAATCCAGACATCATCATCGCCCTTGTAATAAAATTGTGTCTGGCAGTAGCGACGCGCCCAATACATGCCTAGTATTGTCTTCTCAGTTAAGACATGATGATGTTCGATTAAATCAGTAATTACTAAATCGCCAAATAGTCGAGCTTCTTCATCTACACGTCGATCTATTTTAATATTACCAGTACGTCCAACAATAAAGATTAATCTCCATAAATTAGCAATAC